CAGATGACAATGAGAAGTAATAAAGGTGATAGAGCACCAAACTATATTGGTAAGTTGTTGATTTCATTTTAATTTGGTTAAGATTTTTTAATTTCTTTATACCTCACAATTTTGATTCCAACCCAAAATCGCCCTCAATTTGTTCAATCATAATAGCACAATATACCCTAACTAGTTGAGTTAGAGGAATAAGACTGAAGGTGCTTCCTAAAATTTTTTTAAAAAAAATACCTGCACTCAACAGCAGATAACAGAATGTCAATAAATTATAAACTTTGGGAAACACGGTGACCAATTTGGCTAAATTTTTTTTCTCAATGACCAAATTAAATTTTCGTGTAAAACCTAGTGACAAAAAAGTATTTAACCTTTATTATTGTATGAAAGTATAAATAATTTGCTGGCAACATAAATTTGTATTGATGACTAGACCGAGGGATTTACCTCAATGGTTAGGTACCTCTCCCTTACTCCCTTGGTCATCAGGTCAAATCCCAGGAAAAGTGATCCCCTCCCCAATAAATAAATAAAAACAAAATTTGCATTCATGACTTAAAATTTTGACATTAACAAACTTTTTATGAATCAAATGATGCATCAAGTAATTAAACTACTACACATGTCGAATTTTTTGTTTGTTTGTAAATATATATAAAATAAAGCAGTTATTAACTGGATAGTTAGCTTTAGGTGCAAACTTGCCTATACGATTTTTTACATAGCCGATTGATTGGCATTCACAACCCATAGTTTCTAGATAACTGACTTTTTATTTAGCAATTGACAATGTTCTTAGTAATTTTAGATTATAAATTCGTACAACAAATACTATAATATGTGTTATACAACATAATACACTTGTAGGGAAAAGTCTTGTCGATGAAAGTTGTTTCTTCTGTCGCTCTCAAGACAGTTACACTGACACATAATTATGTCACAGATAAAGAGTCACAAAAAAGAATATTTCGATAACACAATTTTATCTGTTCCACCATTAGAGTCATAGTTAAGACATGTAAATAGTTATGAGAGGTATACATTCACTTTATATTTCATTAACTTAAATTTGTCTCTTCCACCGTCTGAGTGACGATTACAGTGACACATAATTATGTCACATTTAAATATTTACAAAAACTGACATTCCAATTACACTGACATAGTCATGACACATGTATACATTCATAGAAAACAACACTTCGATAACTCGTAGTTATATCATGTATCTACGTAATAGGTAACGACATTTCGGTTAATGCTGAAGTCAGATGTACACGTTGCATCTTTTTAACGTTGACACATAACGAGTGTTTATATGTTAAAGATGTCTTTATTTTCATAAAAGTACACACATCTTTTATAGGACTACCCCACAATGCAGTCCTCATTCAAGAATCATCCTAGACTAAAAGGTGTTGGTCATTTAAAATGGGAAAAAAAAATACCGTTCGATAAATTAAACGGAAACAAAAAAAGTGATAATCAAATAACTAAACTGTTATAATTCAGTTGAATTTTTTCATGAATAATACTTATTTTAAGGAATCTACCGACATTCTACCGAAAAAAGCCTCGAAACATAACTATATCACACGTACACGTTGGATTTCTTCAAATGAAATACAAGTGGTAATCAAAACACACAGGCCGCACACATGTTTAGCGGACTTTTTTTATTGCTTATTAATTGCTTAGATTAAAGTACCTAATACGGTAAATTATATGGTGTGGTGTTTCCTAATTCAACCACCAAATAGGTTTCCTTGTTAAACACGTCTACTAATTGTTAATTGGCCTCTCAGAACTCTATAAATACCCAAACTTTCCGCCTTGAGATCCTTCCTTCCCTTTCTCTCTGATTTTTCTCTCTTTCTGTTGCATTCCGTATCTTTGCCTGCCTTTCTCTTCTCCCCTCGCCATTTTTAGGGTTTCCAGCTACTTTCTCTCCCAGGCGGGTGATCATTCCTCTCTCTCTCTCTCTCTCTCTCTCTCTCTCTTATTGTCCTTCCAATTATTTGGCCGCCTGTGAATGCTTGTTTATGTGAGGTTCTTTTGTTTCCAGGTTAATTCAGTCTCTTCTTCATCGACTATTAGAGATCAGGTTATACAATTTTCCTTCTCTTTAATTTTTCTTTTCTGTTTTCGTTGATGTCATATATAAGCAAATGCTGTTTGGATCCATATAACATGACCAAAACCAATCATTTTACCTTTCTTCTGAGTTTTTCTTCTCAGATCTTTACCCAAAGTCGCCCGATTTAGCTTTTTTACAGATTAGAAAGCAAACCCTTTTGTTTTTGTCATCCAATTATGACAAAGATGAAGCCTTTTTCATGGATGGTGGCGGAGCTTTTGGTGTCATGACCATGAGCCCCTAGCCCATTTACTTTGGGATAGCTTCATCAGTTTTGTTGCTGTTAAATCCATGACATATACGGTTGGCTTCAGGACCATATGATATATTAATTAATGGATGTGTGTTGCTGTCAACATTTATATATACATGGTTTTGGGACCATTTTATTCATTATATATATGCATAAGCTGCTAGTTTTTGTTTTATGGATCAATCATCTTTCATATTTTTTTTCTCCAAATCTTGGTTTTTTTTAATAATGGGATTTGTTGATGGGTGGAAATCTGATATGATGTGTATTAAAGAAAATGACTTGACAGCCAATATGTTAATTTTACCTTATTTTAGTACGGATTTCTATTTTGTCGGTTGCTGTGAACTGATGAAAATATGTTGAAATTTTCACAACGTGCCTAAATCACCTCCCTTGATGTAGCTTATAAAGCAAAAGCCTCACGGACTTTGAACGAGAAGCTTTATTTGCTTTTCTGGGCGCAATTTTTCAATCGAAAGTTCTTTTATTTACTATTTGTTCATCACGAGTTTGATAAATTTTTCACGTGAGAGTCTGTGTGATTAATTTATTTTTCTGCTTGTGATGTCTTCAGAAAGTGTTTATGTTTTGAATACTTTGTATTTTTTTTTCTGGTGGGGATTAAATATTACGTTCGTTGTGGTAGTTGTGATGTCTTGTCGCAGCACGGGGAATTGTTTTGTTTTGAACTTTATATATATATATATATATATATATATAATAATTTATATTATTTTTAATTTAATCAATTCTGAAGGTGATGAATTCTTAGATTTATGGCTCCTTCAGCTTTTCGTGAATTACTATGGAGAAAAAACATTACACTTTTTATTTTATTTTATTTTTATTATAGAAGAAAACCATTTGCATAGAGTGATTTTTGTTCTGAATGATTGGACCAGAAAACCTTACAGTTCAATCTCGTAGTGACCCACAATAGGAGTTGTGCATTATGTCTTGGTATGGTTGAATTTTTATTTATATGCATGTGACAATGCTTTTTATGTAAGTGCTTTTGGGGGACTAGACAAATCAGTTGAGCCCAATTTATATTTTGCTTCTATAAAGTAACTATAGATGATGATGTATAGCATTATATGCATACATAAAATACAAATATAGTTAGATTATTATACTCTATATAGGTGTGAACATTTAACTTCAAGTGTATATTTTAATGGTTTATATCTTGTGTGTATATTCTATTATTTGATTGCACATATGATTCATTTTTAATGCTATTTCTTATTTTATCAATAGCTGTTTGGGTTGATTTTTCCCCCTATTTAATCTTTGGTTGCTTGAGTCTTAATTTTGAGAAAGAATACTAATGCTATTTTTTTGGGAAAATAAACTGAACCTGCTTTGGTTTGGTTTTGGTTTCAATTATTAGCAAACTGAGATTATCGATTTGATGTCCGAATTGAACCCAAAACCAAACCAACCTAGACTGAGCCCACCCTAATACTGTGTAGATAGCAACTTATATAATTTCTGCTGAATTTCAATGACAACATAAGTTGATAGAATGTGCCAAGAAAACTTGTATTTGTGGTATAGTTTATGGCCAGCATTCAATGGTGGGGTCTTTGAGAAATGGCCTAATATATACTACACCTGACCATCCCTTTGCCCTGCATGCAGTAATTATTGTCTTTTGTTTAAACTCAAAAATTTAGGTAGCCTCTATGTCCAAATCTTTGGTAAGAATATATTTAACTATGACTAATTATGTTAATGAAAGGAATCTATGTATTAATTGACTTGTGCATTGTGTCCCTTTTTTTTATGCATCAATAAATTATCAAATTAGTTTGACTTTGTTTTTGTTTGGGGTGGCTGTAAAGAGTCACATGTGTTTTCTGTCAATTTATATGGATCTCATGAGTCCTATAGAGTTGGTGTTTTTTTTACCACATGGCATATAAATTACCTTCCCTTCAAAGTCTCTTGTTCCTACAACTCTTAAGCACCATAGATTTTCATTTGCTTCTGGATTGTTTTGAGTGCCAACCCTATTTTAACTGCCCTTTGATATGATTTAAGTTCACCCTGGTAAAAGTGATTGCAATTTTCAAGTGTTGTAGTCGAAACTTGAAGCAAATGTTCATTTACATGTGCATATACACCAATACTTAAGCCACTTATTTTATGGTTCTGCAGGAAGAGGCTTTGTACAAACTTGCTGCAATTTGAAAGCATATAACTATATCCTTTCCTCCCGAAGACCCTTGTGCGAAGAATGTTTGACCGCCTTTTATGATTGCAGTGTTGTTCTGGGGATGAGAAGGTGTGACTCTGAACACTTAGTGTGAATTTGGTTTGGACATTGGTATTCTGAAGCTGGTTGTTTTTTATCTTTCTATTTGACGCTTTAATGTCATGACAGTTTTGAGGAACTCTGTGCTTAATGGACTGCTCACCCAACAGCAGTGACAAGAAAACGTTGAAGAGGTGGTTTTTCATTGACAAAAGGGTCGGCTAAAACAAGTATATTTCTTGAACTTAGGAGCATACTCTGTGTTGTTGACAGAGCGCCATTCATATTAAACACTACAAACTACAAAACTTTGTCACTTTGATTAGCACTTGGCAACGAAACTGGATCCGATGGAGTTGAAGACAAATCATGCTGCTCCGGTCCTCACTGACCCTCCACCGATAAGTAAGTCAAGACTAGGCCTCCATTCTAGTTTGTTGCCATTCTCACAGCAAGGAGCATCATTCTCCTCTGGCAAGTACATTAACATCCCAAGGAAAAAGCCAGGAAAGCTCGATGATGTTCGGTCCAATGGTTGGCTTGATGCCATGAAATCCTCTTCACCTCCCCGGAAGAAGCTCAATAAGGATTTCAATGTTGAGGTTGCTTCAGATGATGTTGATAATGCTTACTGCTTTTGGATGGTATATTTGCTTCTCTTTTATTAACTTTGCAGTTTATATCCATTTGTTCTTGTATGACTTCAAACTTATTCGTCTGGTGCTCTCTGTGATGATGCAGCTTAAGCATCCATCAGCGCTGAAATCGTTCGAGCGGATTACAAATTTTGCAAGGAACAAGAAGATAGCAATATTTCTAGATTATGATGGGACTCTTTCCCCGATAGTTGATGACCCTGACCGTGCAATAATGTCTAACGCTGTAAGAATTGTGTTTTGTTGTTTTATGCTTATAAATTTCGACTTTTATTTATCTTCTGTGTCTGAAACCAAAAGAAACTGTTGCCAGATGCGTTCAGCTGTAAGAAATGTTGCGAAGCATTTTCCAACTGCTATTATTAGTGGAAGAAGCCGCGATAAGGTAGCTGCAGCATTTCCCCCTCTCTCTTTTCAGACTCAGTGTTTAATTTCATCTTTTCTATTTGGTCCTAGTGTGGATGCCATTCGAATGCTGGTCATTAGGGCCGTCTGATGAGCGGATTTGTTTCAGGTATATGATTTGGTAGGACTAACAGAACTTTACTATGCTGGTAGTCATGGAATGGACATAATGGGTCCTGTCACTAATACAGACTCCAATGACCATCCAAACTGTGTGAAATCTACTGACCAACAGGTAACATGACAATAAAATTCTGTAAGTCCTTTGCACTCTTGTATAATTTTTTTCCGTTGAGTTCTCATTATCTGTCTTTGATATGGCAGGGTAAGGAGGTAAACCTCTTCCAGCCTGCTAGGGAGTTTATACCTATGATCGACGAGGTTTTTAGAACCCTCGTCGAGAATACTAAAGGGATCAAAGGTGCAAAAGTTGAAAATCACAAGTTTTGCGCCTCTGTACATTACCGTAATGTAGATGAGAAAGTAAGCATTTACTTAAAGAAGAATAGAAGAAAGCTTACAATTGCATCTGCAAGAGTTTGTCTGACTTGTTTTGGTTATTTTTGGCATGTGTTCTGACTTCAGAATTGGTCTACAATTGCACAAAGTGTTCATGATATTCTCAAAGACTACCCTCGTTTACGATTAACTCATGGGCGGAAGGTAATTAATCTCACTGGTTTGCCTTAATCTTGTTGCTTTTCATCTTATTATCATTTGCATTAATAAGCCAAATTCTTTCCATCTAACATATAAATTTGGACATTGTTTTTTCTTGCAGGTTTTAGAGGTCCGCCCTGTTATTGACTGGAACAAGGGAAAAGCAGTTGAATTTTTGCTTGAATCTCTTGGTAGTGAACCAAACCTCTCTCTCTCTCTCTCTCTCTTCTTTTTCTCTCTTAAATGATACATATTCACACTATGAGAACCTGGACAAATGGTGCAGGGCTAAATGGTAGGGATGATGTGCTCCCAATTTATATTGGTGATGATAGGACCGATGAAGATGCATTCAAGGTGACACTACCATCACTGCATTTTTACTAATCTTACTCACAAGAGTTTGTAACATTGACACTAAATATAAAATCTCCATGCATTGTTTCAGTTCTTGAAGAAGAAGAAGAAGCGTGGTTATGGAATTCTGGTGTCGCCTGTTCCAAAAGAAACCAGTGCCTTCTACTCTCTCAAGGACCCGTCAGAGGTTTTACTCTCATCCTTAATATGTATAATGTATTATGTGTGAATTTGCAGGCACGTTGGCTGTGTGTTTTTTTTTAATTTCATCTCAAAAAATCCATTGAAATTTTTATACAGGTCATGGAATTTCTCAAGTCCTTGGTGAGATGGAAGGAGGAAGAAGCCAATTAAATGCTAAGGGAGCACTTAGTTGATCTGAAATATAGTATTAATAGGCTTTTAGTTTGTTTTTTATAAGTTTTTTACTCCACAAGAACTCAAGGCTGCTAAAAGCAGCTGCTGTTATTTTACAACCTCAGTTGTCAGTTCAGAGCTTCTCAGTTATTTTGTTACTTCATGTCTTTGGCTTATAAAAAATAAGTATTTTCTCCCCATTTTCATCTCTCAAAGCTTTCCTTACCACGATGGTTCCTTCTAATCTTGTAGACTTTGTGGAATGTCACAAACTGTTTCAGTGTACTGCACAAAAACTTCTCTAATTTTTATTTCACTTTGGATCCTGCACTTCTGGGATTTAAATTTCGACAACTTACACGTTAAAACTGTATGTCGAAAAGATATTATTGGGGTTAACTTATGTATAACTACATCGAAACCAATCAATTTTCAACCGTGCAAAGTGAACAAAACTTGAAGATTAGCAGAAGAACAATTTTTTCTTTTTTTTTTTGTTAGAAAGATCAGCAAGGCAGCAATCCCATTTCTCAGTTTTGTAAATTTGCACCACACTTGGTTGGCATTTTGGACTTTATCACTTAACCCAATACTGAAATAACTTGGAAGCTTTGTAAGAGCTTTTCCAGCAAGGGGCCCAAGGGGAGGGCTAGGGGGGCCAAACCCAAAATGGTGTTTCCAGCAACAAAAATATGCCAGGGCAAGGTGTGGGGCCCAGCGAACTGGGCTGGCCCTTGGGGAGGTCTGGCCTGAGCACCAAAACTCGTTTTGGGCTGACGTCAGCGCTGGGGTTTAAATTTTTTTAACGTGCACGCGCTAATGTAAAAAAAAATTGACGCCGCCCGCTACCGCCACGCACACGTGCCTGCCCCCGCCCCCCCCCCCCCCCCCCCCCCCCCCCCCCCCCCCCAACGAGTCTATTCCACGTGGCTAGCAAGGGGCTGTCCGATCCACTTTTCCCAGCAATCCAACGGCAACCATTTTTTCACCTCGGGTAGATACCATCAGCTAGATAATACCCATTATGGTAGACGGTATTATTGATTTGATATGTGATATTTGAGCCTTCACCTCTCAGAACATCATTGAACACCGGGGATTGACCCAGGACGTTCAAATCTTTTTGAGAGCCGGCAACTCCAAAGAAGGCGTGCCAAACCTATGTATCAAAACCAGCAACTGCTTCAAGGATGATGCTTTTCTGCCCTTTCCGATTCCCATAATCCCTTTGCCAAGCAGTTGGACAATTTTTCCATTGCCAGTGCATGCAGTCAATGCTACCAATCATTTCAGGAAATCCACGAGACTCAGCTTTTTGTAGAAGCCGTTGCAGGTCCCTGGGCGTAGGTCTGCGCAGATAGTCCCTGGTGTACAGATTTTCCACTGCATCACAAAATCGCACCAAGCTCTCCAAAATAATGGACTTCCTCATCCGGGCAATCTCATCCACCTGATCAGCAGATGACCCATATGCCAACATTCGTATCACAGCTGTGAACTTTTGCTCGGGAAGTAGCCCCAAATTTCCAGCACAATTTTTCTTTTGAACAAAGTAGTCATCATAATTGTAAATATCATGCATGACTTTATTGAACAAATGGGGTTGCATTCTATATCTCGCTCGAAAATGAACATCATAGTACAGAGATTGTGGGATAAAATAATCTTCCAGAAGATTCTTACCCCGAGAATGTCTATGTCTGTCCACATTCGATGCCCGACCTTCTCATGAACCACGACGGCTCTGGTTTTCTTCCTCCAGCAAAGCAACGGCCATGCCAAGTTGCTCATCTAGTTCTCTTTGCGCCCTTTTGCTTGCAGCTCTTCTACGCATTCTTTATCGCCTTTCTCGCTCTTGCCTCTCCAAAACCTCTTCCATGTCTGCCATTGAAAATGGAGAATGAAATCTAAAATTTGAGAAATGAAGATGTAGAGAAGATATGGTGTGGGAAGTATAAGCTGAGCCTCTGGTTTTATAGAAAAATTGAGGCAGATAGAGATGACACGTGACGCAATTTAGAGGGTGAAAATCTTATTTGAAATTTGAAATTCACAAGAAATTTGAAATTTATCTGGAATTTGAATTTCGAAATTAATCTGAAATTTGACATTTTGAATTTATCTGAAATTTAAATTTTGAAATGTATCTGAAATTTGAAACCGAAAATCTTATCCGATATGAATAGTATTGATACATAGGAACTGAAAAATCTTATCTGAAAATATTATCTAAATTAATTGTTTAAGTAAACAAAGTTGTGAAAAAAAACAAAAACATGAATAGTATTTGTCATGGCAAATCTAAACTGCTGGAAACACACTTTGCTGGGGGCAGCGGCGGATCCAGGAATTTTCAGTGCAGAGGCAATTGTATTTTTTTTTCCAAAAGTTAAGTAAGTGCAAAAGCTAAAAAAAAAAAAAAAAAAAAAAAAAAAAAAAAAAAAAACATAAACCTTATAATTTAAACAATACTAATGTTATTCATAATACATTAAAAAAATATCATTACAATTACCCTACAATTGTTGCCGACGAGTTTTCATATCTTAAAAACGTCGCATTATATTTATATTACTAATACAAGAAAAAACATCTTTCTCAATGTAAACAACCAAGCTATCACTCAACCATTGATTCCCTATTTTGTTACGCAATGGTGTTTTCACAATATTCATAGCTGAAAAAGCTCTCTCAACTGAAGCTGTTGCAACGGGTAAAACTAAAGCCAATGTAAGAAGTAAATATACATAGTTGTATATTCTACTCCTTCCTGTATTCACCAATTTTTCTGCCAGATCAGTAATTCCTTTCAATGATGAAAACACAGTGTTGCTCTGCATATCAACAATATAAAGCCCAAGTTGATCTTCAAGCTTCATGAGGTCTCGGTCATTAAATTCTTGAGGGTAAAATTGAGCAAAACGAAGTATTTTTTGTTTGTCAAAAGCTGCAAAATTATAAGCCGGACTCAAACATGCCATACAAAGAAGCAATTCAGTATTTACCTCAGTGAAGCGATTATTCAATTCCACTAGTTGCTTATCAATGATAGTAAGAAATAGATCCACACGATAATAATGGCGGTTTGTGATTTTCTGAGCTTTACGACGTGATCTCCCTTGTGGTACAAATAAATCATCCATGTTAGGAACATCAATATCATTGTTGCCACAAAATATTGATACTTTGCCAAGCAGATCATCAAAGTCATCATCCCTCATAGATTGTAGCTTTTGCTTACATTTTTGGACCAACATCATTGCATTCACAATATCTTGATCTTTCTTTTGTAATGCCTTTGACTTACTTTGGATTGGTGTTTGCTCAAGAAAAAAAAAGAAAAAAAAAGCATTCGACTTACTTTGGATTGGCGTACTCAAGAAGAAAAAAAATTGCAGGATTCTTGTGATGCACACACACTTTGATGAAATTGGGTGATGTTATTGGTCTTTTATAAAGAGAATTCTCAATTCTACTTAATTAAGGAATTTCCAACTCTATTTAATTAAGGAATTCTCAAAACCCAATTGTATAAGAAGAACTTTCAATTAAAACCCAATTAAGTAAGGAAATAGAAGCCCTTTTTCAAAAGCCCACAAAAAGCCCACGTCAGTTTTCCCTTTGTTTCCTTTTTTTTTAATTTCAAAACCCTGGTCCAAAACGACGTCGTTTTGGCCAGGTTTTTCAAAAAAAAAAAAAAAAAAAAAAAAGCAGCATATTAAACAGCCTGGTCCAAAACGACGTCGTTTTGGCCAGGCTTCGTTAAAAAAAAAAGAACCTCGCGCGCGCGCTGCGCGCAGCATCTCCCCCAGCAGGCAGCAGTGGTTTGCGCATTTCATCGAGCACGTTGTGTGCATCGCAGGTCTGAAGCAGAGGTGCAGCTCCATCGTCTGTAATGGTTATTTCCGGCCACCGGAGGTGCAGGCGCACCTCCTTGCGCCTGCACAGATCCGCCACTGGCTGGGGGTTAGGGCAGCCATTATTCACGTGAATAGTAACTACCCTAGGGCTCCCCTTGCCATGGCAAGGGGCTAACTGGTGGAAATGCTCTAAGGCCCATTGTACTTCATAAAAAACAATCAAATGGGGTCACAAAACAGAACACAATCTCCCAATATTTGCCTAGCGGAGAATACAATAGGACTTGTCTTGTCCCTATATCCGGTCTCTCTCTCTCAACTCAAAAAAACCTCAAATGATCGTCCTTGTTATTATCATCTATATCCATTATCCGACTTCTTATATATTATCTTCAAAACTATTTATTAAAGCATAGTTCTAGACATCATTTACCCCAATTCAAAGCTTGATTTTGAAATTGTGCAAGGGGTAACGCTTTTTACACAACGTAACATACAATATGTATGTAATGATATATATAAATTTATTATATCACATAGCATATCGATAATCACATGATGCGTGTCTTAAATGGATTCCACAATATACTTTTTTTATTTTCCCTAAATCAATAGAGATGGATACTCCCAACTTAGGACAGTCTTCTTTCTAAAAAGACAAGGTTGTAAAACATTTTCCTTGCATGTATGTAACATGTTGTTACATAGACAAAGTGAAAATGTCCATAACAAAAAAGCATCATTAAAATTCAGAGGATGTTTTTTTTTTTTTTTTTTTTTTTTTTTTTTTGTGTGAAACAGAGGATGAGGTGTGTGTGTGTACATATAAAACATGCCTCACTGATCCGCCCAAATAACTTCCAACTGCTACCGATTTCGAGCGAAGCCCAAAAATGTCAGTCTCTTTGCAATCTCCGCCCTCCTCAGCTGTCTCCTCTTTCCAGGTGCATGCAATACTCTCTATCTCTCTCTCCTCTCTCCCAGCTCTGCTTCGCTAACTATTGCTGTACGAGCTGTAAACTTTGATTTTTTTTTTTAATTTTTTTTACATTCAAAATTAATCATAGCAGGGAACAAGGCTGAGGTTTTCCAATGGATCTCCAGCTTCCAATCTGCTCTTCAACTTCCAGCGATCATTTCCTGCCATTCGGGCCTCCGCTCTCGACACCGGTCAGTGAGCTTTCTGTCTCAGTGTCTCAATGCTCAGCTTTGCTTCTTGTTTTATTTTATTTTATTTTTTTCATTTTTGGTTGAATTGGATTTTCAGGTTCAACCACTGAATTGGACCTCGTCTCTAGCTTCAGTGAGATCGTTCCAGACACCGTCATTTTCGATGACTTCGAGAGGTATCTAAATATATATTCTTTTTCTTTTGCTTGTTTTTGTAGAAGTGGAATTTGAAATTTTCATGATCATGTTGTAAATTATGAATCAGAATTTCTTTTGAACTGATAATAATGTCTTTGCTTAATGATCAGAATAGCTCTAATCTTCATTTACTTTTTTTAGATTTTAGTTTGGTAGCAACAGAAACTCGGAGTAATAAAGTAGCATATCCATATTGTTTAAAATTTCATTTATTTCATATTTTTGCATGGTTTCATGAAGGATTATTTCTAAATTTTGAACTTTTGGCTGTTACTGATTATTTATGAAAAGGTTTCCTCCAACCGCTGCTACAGTGAGCTCTTCCCTACTCTTGGGTATATGTAGCCTCCCTGACACCATATTTAGAGTAAGCCTTCAATCTTCCATTGGGGAAGAAATCATTCGAAAAATAAATAAGAAATTGCATGTGCTTTCCAATTTCGATATGGGACTGTATGTTGTGTTTTCTGATTAATTTTTCTTTGGTGTAGAATGCTGTGGATATGGCATTGGCGGATTCAGAGTGTAACAAGCATGAAAACTCCGAATTGAGATTGTCATGTTACAGTAACAAGGTTGGTTTTCTTGTATCTTGTCATTAGAAATACCTATGCTTTGTTAGATTGATCATATTGTTCAAAATTTAGTTATGCGCATGTAGGCTTTAGTGAATGTTGGTGGTTATTTGGCGAAACTAGTTCCTGGCCGAGTGTCTACTGAGGTGGATGCACGTCTTGCTTATGACACGCATGGCATTATCAGAAAGGTATTCGTTTCTTCCTGGTCATTTTGTCTTATATTTTATAGTTAAAGAAAATGCTAATACATTACACAAAAATTAAACATACTGTAATGCTGATGTTCAAGAACAATTTGTTCGTTTCTGTCTTAACTGTGTATGCATTCATCTTATTCTTGATTGTTTTTCAAGCAACTATATGATTTTTGTTAATGATAATCTTGATAAGTTTTGTCATGTTTATTTTATTGAGCTATACTTGTCATGGCTGGTGTAATAGTTTTGCATTAAAGTTCTAAAACGCCTATAATATGACTAGATTTTATAGTTTGTAACTAGATTTAATAGTCTTGCAGAAAATGTGTGAAAAAAAAAATGATACTGAAATTTTGTTGTATTTTCTTACGGTTGTGTACTTTGTTAATTTTAGTGCCCAGAAATTTTAAGTGCCAGTATTTTTTTGCTCATTTTCCTAAGGTATATCATTTTCTCCCTGATATCACTTAGATTATTTGCTATCTCTTTCATTGCAGTCTGATACAATTGGTTTATCTAATATGCAGGTGCATGACTTGCTGAAGTTGTACAATGAAGTTAATGTTCCTCCTGAGCGTTTGTTGTTCAAAATTCCTTCAACTTGGCAAGTAAGTGTCAGAGATAATTAGGCCTGTTGTGAATATTCTGAGTGGACTTGATGACAATTGCTCAGGCCTGTTGTGAGGCGATTGTTTTGCATCATTTGTTGCTCATCGATTGTTGGTTTTCTGTTCAGGGAATTGAAGCTTCAAGATTACTAGAATCTGAGGGCATACAGACGCATTTGACATTTGTGTACAGGTAAATCTCTTGTAATTAACTTGTGTAAGCTTGACAAACCTGTTTGAAATCTTAGACTTGATGTTGTACTACTAACTTCTATAAGGGCATAGTTTTATACAGTTGTAATAGAGGATAAAGTTTTATGATACCCCCTCCCTCCCTCCCTCCCTCCCTATCTCCCTCTCCCTCTCCTTTTCCCATTCCCCCTTCCTTGTTGGTTGGGCAACAAGATTGCTTCTCATGAATTGTAAAAATTTGTTGATTTAGCTCGCTCTTGTTTTGAAAGTTCAAATCCATGATCCTGGCGATGTCTAAAGGAGCCATTGTAGTTAGAATTACATGTTTTCTTATTGTGGAATTGAAAATTGCTTGTATATCAATCTAAAATGCTGAGGCAGAAGCTATTAGGTTTTGATTATATAAACAACAAATCAGAATGCTGCTTTGTGATTTTTTTTTCATCTGTGATTTATGAACATTACTTTGCCATTATATCTGCTGTTCAAATTCAACTTTGTACTTCTCATGACTCTCTCTCTTTTTTCTCTCTATATGTGTCTCCACACACACTCACACACACAATGCTGTTCTAAGATGAATTCATTTTAATTTTTTAGTTGTGTTTGGTGATGGTTTGAACATTTTTCTTCAGCTTTGCTCAAGCTGCAGCTGCAGCCCAAGCTGGCGCTTCTGTTATTCAGATTTTTGTTGGCCGTCTTAGGGTAATATTTGTAATAATGGAATTTTATTTAGTTCAACTTCAGTTTATTGTAACCGCTAAAGGTCAAATTTATCATTCAGGATTGGTCTCGCAACCATTCTGGTGACCCTGAGATAGAAGCTGCTCTCAAGAGAGGGGAGGATCCTGGGTTAGCCTTGGTAAGTTGGAAAGTTCTCATCTTGTGGTTTTGTGATTATGTACTGTTGTTTGTCGTGGTCCTTGAACGGCATTACTCTGTTTTGAGTTTTGATTTTTGACCTCTGGATGCATCTCAGTTGCAAGCAATTACCAAATATAAACTGGTTTGTACTTTTTGTTTTTCCAGTATTGTTTTTATCCTAAAATCTGACAACCATTAGGAATGAGCCTAAATAATTTATTCTAACATTCTTTCCCCATCACTGTCTAGAGTCTGTTAGATGCTTTAACTTCTGGCTATGCCTTGAATTTCTCAGGTGACACTAGAGCTTTCGTAAAGGATAGTAATGAATATAAACTGTTCCCGTATGAGATGCTTTTTGACATTACAGGTGACAAAGGCGTATAACTACATCCACAAATATGGACATAAATCAAAGTTAATGGCAGCAGCAGTTCGGAATAAGCAGGATTTGTTCAGTCTCTTGGGGTAAATTCATATGAATCACCTTTTAATCTTATGTATCTGCCTGGGAATTTCCAACAAAACTCAACTCAGGGAACGATCTTCCTGCTTATGTTGTCTGCTACATGTTCAGGGTTGACTACATCATTGCACCACTGAAGGTATTGCAGTCACTCAAAGAATCAATCACTACCCCTGAAGAGAAGTATTCTTTCGTCAGGAGGCTATCTCCACAATCTGCTGCCATCTACAAGTTCAGTGAAGAAGAGGTCTGCTTTCCGTCCTGTGCTCAATATTTTTTATTCTACATTAGCAATGAAAAAATTAAATGAAATTTCAAATAAAATGAAAAAATAATACGTGAAGCAAAATGATGACTCAGGTTAACAGGTTCACCTGCATGTTGTGTGTAGTGCTGTTGGTACTTCAATTTTAATCTCTTATTTCATGTGGCAAAGACAAAAGGCTGCCAGTTTTGATAGAGCTATGTGAAAAGCCAAATAGTTGTAAAATAATGAGTGCCTCTATTTTTTGAGAAGTAGACATGTTGAGTGCCAAAAGAAAAAAGAAAAGAAAAAGGAAGAATGCCAAAAGGACTAAATATTTTAGTATTAACCCTTTTTTTTCTCAGCTATTAGTATTAATAAAACCTGCCAACTTGTGATAAGCGTGCTTAGTTACTCATGACAGTATCTTAAAGTTTGAAAGTCTTTCATTTTGGAAGCAAAGCTTGACAGTTTAGGCGTCATCATTATTAATAGAACTTCAATGAACGTGGAGATAGAATTCCTTCAAACCTCTAGAATCACCAATATGGCTGCACCATCATTGTCTATCCTGTTGATAGGAATGTCACTACCTCATCAGAAAATAAAAATCATATCCATGTTTGCCACCAGGCACATCACTACTTCCATCATCTGCCTTGTCATGCATTAGTATACAACCACTTCAACAGATGTCTCGTTTTCTATGCCTTGGTTTCCAAGTCACCACCCAATACCATTGGCCTTTTAGTATAATCACCATACTTTTCATGCTAAAGACCATGTGCGTGCATGCTTTCTGATTTCATGTAGGAGGAAATTCTCTTCAATGCATTGTTAGGCCTAGACCCTCTATAGATGTACAGTCTGCATGGGACTGGTATTGGACTCATGCCCCACACACTCGCTCGTGCACGCACACACTATGTAGGTGGTCCATTTGGTAATCACAATCACCAAAATCAGAGACTCTGCTCACTAGTATGAGAAATATCGTGTTTCTTTTTTTCACAGTTTTGTTATAGCCTTTCTGAAAAAGTAAAATTGGTGAATAAGAAAGCTTCTTTTGCTGTGTCACTGTGTGTCAAGAGTAATTTCTCATTGCTCAACCAAACAGGGTTGCTATGATTGGAATTGAAATTGTAGAATGATTGGGTTTAAGACTAATTTAAATCAGTTATATACATATGCCTGTCCAAAATAGTTATTGGTTCAACTTGATAGACCTCTCTGGTGTAAATCTATTCTGAAAAGATTATCAAAATGTTTTTGGTTTTAGATTTGTTAACCAATCTTCTCCTTGTGTCCAGCTTGTCAAGTGGGACCAATTAAGCTTTGCATCGGCTGTGGGACCTGCAGCCGTGGAGCTTCTGGCCAGTGGACTGGATGGTTATGCTAATCAAGCAAATCGAGTTGAGGAATTATTTGAGAAAATTTGGCCACCTCCAAATGTATGAAGTGCTATCTTCTGTCGCTAAGCTGATCTTGCCTTGCCTTGCCTTTCATGGAATAAGAGGGAAATACTGGTTTGGCTTTCGTTTTTCCTTCTCTCTTTTTGTTCTCTCTTGTAATGTTTATCTCCAGCAACACTTGATCTCAGCAAAGAACTGTATGTTATCATAAAAACGTGCAGCTAATCTGAATTTTGTTAATACACACGTGAGATGAGAATGCCTATGCCGTGATTCAGAAAGGAAAAAAAACTAATAATTTCCAAAACAATTGATAAAGCCGTATACAAAAATTTCTTCAGATATAAACACCAAAGTTCTGCCGCTTGGTTAAATAAAAAATTAATTAAAAAAAAAATAGCGGCTCTTCCATTTTTCTCACTTAAATTCGATTCCAATCTAATGAGATATAACTCAGTTGGTTGAGGGCTTCCACCTTCATTTATGTGGGCAGAGGGTTTGAAACCCCGAGACACTCAAATCAATATTTGTGTAAATCTCGATTCAAAATCTCAAGCACCCAATCAATATTTGTGTAAAATTATCCTCCTCAGTCGCTTGTGCTAAAAATAAAATAAAAATCGCATTCCAAAACCGTGTTATTCATGTCCTCCGTGTTTCTCGCCTATCTTGGTTGCTTCTCTCTGAAAGAAAAGTTGCCTTTGACAAAAATGAAAATCACGTTATTCATGTGGTCACCCATACCGTCCATTTATGCTACCAGCAAAGAAATTTGAACGCAATCATGTTGATGAATATTTAAGAAAATATGCTACCAACCTGTAAAGCTCCTTCTTTGTATTCAACTGCTCTGACGGGGTGTGACCATTAGTGTAAGACTAGTGTTTGACACGTGCAAAAATAATACATAAAACATATAAAAAGAAATATATATATATATATATATCTTATTGACATTAGCAAGAATGTAGAAGCTCATACTTACACGGAAATAAGAGAAGTATTTTCCTTAGTGTAATAAGTTAGTGTCTAAATTTGACCAAAAATTCAATGGGTAAAAATAGTTTATATGAATTTGTACTCAAAACTACTAAGTCGAGATATGTTACGATGACTTGAGTGAACGGTTCCTTCTACTTAATACGTGTAGAACTCACAACGTTCTAATGGTCAGATTTTGGGCATGAACGATTTCGCCTAGACACGCGTGTACGATTGACGCAAGTAAAATTCAACTGCCTGTGCTTTTCAAAGCTTCGTGGGCAAATGGCAGTCGTGCTTTCGATACAAAAGGAATTTTAGTAGCAGTCCTCTGGTCATTGAGAGCTGAAATCGAGTGTTAGAAGAAGAAAAAAGAAGCAAAAGAACAAAAGTGGGAGGTCGGCCGGACGTTCTAACTCCGATTTGACAACAAAATCGACTCAAATACTGTGACACAGCATGAATGGTCCAATCAATCTTCCAATCTAACCCTACATAGTGATTCTGTCGATTGCATTATTGCATGTGGTGGAGGCTGCAAGAGAGCATATGGGGTGGTTAGGCCGCAGGCATGTGGAAACATGCAGAATCAACTGGATTAATCATCAATCTCACAAAATTAAGAGTTAGAAAACAAAAGAGTCCTGATCTGGTCTAGGTGGTTGTCTTGTTCATTTTGGTTTTTTCCACAATAATGCTAATTATTAATGGGAGACAAAACATTAAAATGGGCTTCTTGACAATGGCCAAGGAAAACGAGGACCTTAGGCGAGCTGAGTCATCATTTGCTGTCCAATAATTTATTGGATAGGCACGAATAATTAAGGCCATGCCAGGTAGCTGTCACCTTCTAAATCTGAATCTACAAGACTTATATATACCCGTGCCGTGTTAACCTGAAGCTGCTCAACCAGGTCTTTGGAGCTACCATTATAACCAACCCATGGTAAGCCTTAATTAGACCTTCTAGAACCATTGTCCTTTCTGTGTCTCAATAGTTAACCTTAATTAACCCACCCCCACCCCAAAACCAGTAAATTAGATGATCAACCAACTCATTTGTTGATGCGAAAAAAATGACTCGGTATTTTTGGGCTCAACTTAATGATGTATGGGTTTTCAAAATGCTCTGGGTCTCGGTAAAGCGCTCGATCTACCAAAATAAGAATATGCTCAATAAGGCTTAGGACACCGGTATGGTACCGGCCGAAGGCTCTCCGATACTTAAGTAAGTATGAATTTAGTAAGTAATATGGACAGAGTAGTGACTATTATGCCGAAAGTTCCAGTTACCTCAATTTTGGGACTTAATTGTGCCCCTTCTTATAAGCCTTGGGAGGTGTGCATGTTGTGTAGAATTTCCATATGAGACTATTGACATTTGCTATGGGTGTTCCACGTGGCCAAAGGCTGAATGTGCCCTAATTTTGCTTTCAGCAATCTTGGGTGCCAAAGGCTACCTTGCCGTTGCATTCTTTTGTCCACGCGTCTTGTTCTGATTGGCCAATCAATTATGGTATAAGCATCATTGATACTCTCCCAAAACTTACTAATAACTCACACGGATGCGTGACTTGAAAGTAAAATTATACTATCATCATATACACCAGAAAGAAAAAAGGGATTTTAGTTCATTGATTCTCGATTAAAACATCCGATTTTTGTGATATATACTTGACAAGAAATGAAGAACTAAATCGTGAAATTTGTCGAAACAGAAAAATCACATAGATGAGAGAAATAAAACTAGGGTAAACTCTGATTGATTGAAAACACTGCGCCACAACAGATTTACCACGTGGGTTATTGCTACTTCACGTTTATTATCCCTAATTAAATATCCCACAAACGCCATTTGCATTGTGAAACAAAGTAACAAAAATGAATCATTATTATTATTAAATAAATAAGAAAAGTAGCAATTAGAACAAACACCACGAGACTCGCTTCAAACTCTGTTGTCCACTTCTTCAGCAGAAAAACAACTCTTTTGTCCACTTGTCCTCTCATGCTCTCCCTTCATGCACATTCGCATATAAATAATTAACACAAAACACACATTATTCACTTGTCTGAAAACTCATTACCCAAATCTCAATCTCTCTGTTTTTTCTTTTCTTTTCTGCCAAACGACCCAATTTGAAATGAACAAAACCCATTCCAGTTTGTAGCCAATAATACATCAAGAGCTCAAGCTTAACCCATTCAATCTCGTATGGCAGACCCAAGACCTTTTCTTCCATCAGATCCCAATACCCTGCCCTGCACCTACACCCCTCTGCCAAATGGAGCCAACCCGGATGGAGGAGCCCCGGAGACCAGGAAGAGGCACTTGAAGGAGCTCCTAGCAATCTTTTCTGGGTTGCTTATGGTTTCCCTGCTGGTGGTCATTATAAGTGGCAAGGAGCCAAATTCCCATAATGCAAGCAACAAACATGAACCCTTGTTTTTGGCTAAACAGCCTCATACAGCACGCCCCGAGAAATTGAGGCCAGTTTCTAGGGGCGTGCCGGCCGGAGTGTCCGAGAAGATGAACCGGTTAGCCGGTGACGTGGACACGCCGGTGTTTCCATGGAACAATAGCATGTTGTCATGGCAGAGAACTGCCTTCCATTTTCAGCCTGAAAAGAATTGGATGAATGGTAAGTGCATTTTTTTTTCTTCTTTTATTTTTTTTCTGTTGAATGGACAAAATGATTGCTTGGTTTTTATGTTTTGTTTTATTTTATTTGTGGTTTTAACTTTTGGTCCATAAATGAAATGAAATAGACCATCAAAACACGTGGGTTTGATTGATAAAGGAGAACCTTTCTAGTTGACCCGGTAAAAAACAGGAGAACATTACTTATTATTTTCTCTATTCATTTGGTTGCAAAAAAGTGATTTTCCACTTTTGTTTAAATTTTTATTTTATGAATAAAGTGATTGTACTTTATTGAAGCACAATTGAAATTAACTTCACGCACACATCTATACTAATCAGTATGATTTTGCCAGTCACTTTTAAGAATTAGACAAAATAGTTATTATGTTACCTTTTTTTGAGTGGTTATTATGTTACTTTTTAATAATTTAATAACAACCGATAACTTACGACATTTTCATTTTAATTTTTTGAATACAAATGATAATCTAAATTATAAGAAGACGAGGTTTCTCTGGTTTAACTCAATACACTTCAATTTTAATAAAATACACTTAATAGAAGTATTTCTTGGCAAGTAATTGTTGCTGAGAAAGTTGTTGCGTGAGTCTATCTAACACTTTCTTCATCTTCTTATGTATTAGAATTAAATTACATGTTAATATTTTATTGATTCATTTTTCTTTCTTTATGGTTGGCTTTGACTCGTGACTCTTCTTCGGGCTGCTTCAGATCCCAACGGTAAGCAATCTCTAATAAGTTTCCATTTTTAAAAAAATATACAAAAAAAGTTGGAACCCAACTTTGTAGGACGTATTTGACATTTCAAGAGGCCATGTCAACGAAAGTTGCGTGACACTTTTGCAATCAAACTTTGGCAACTCCATGATGCTGCCATGTAATTGTCCATGAACTGCACATGAAAAACAAGAAAATCAAATGAATCAATCCTTGACTTTTTCGATACTAACAACTAAAATAAAATAAAATTATGAACAGTAATTGAAGTAACATCTAATTTTGTGATTTTGTTGTTGTTGTTTATACAGGTCCATTATTTTACAAGGGTTGGTACCATTTCTTCTACCAGTACAATCCCAACAAAGCAGTATGGGGAGACATAGTTTGGGGACATGCTGTGTCCAAGGACTTGATCCATTGGCTTCACCTTCCTCTGGCCATGGTGGCTGATCAGTGGTATGACATCAATGGCGTTTGGACTGGCTCAGCCACCATTCTCCCTGATGGTAAAATTGTCATGCTCTACACTGGTTCAACCAATGAGTCTGTCCAGGTCCAAAACCTTGCATATCCTGCTGACCACTCTGACCCTCTTCTCCTCAACTGGGTCAAGTACTCAGGCAACCCGGTCTTAGTCCCTCCCCCGGGCATCGGGTACAAGGACTTCCGGGACCCTACCACGGCATGGTTCACATCAGAGGGCAAATGGCGGATCACCATTGGGTCCAAGCTTAACAAAACTGGGATATCTTTGGTTTATGACACCAAGGACTTCAAAACCTATGAGCTTCTGAATGGGGTGCTTCATGCTGTCCCTGGGACTGGAATGTGGGAGTGTGTGGATTTTTATCCGGTGTCGAAAACCAGTGACAAGGGATTGGATACTTCTGTGAACGGGCCTGATGTGAAGCATGTGGTAAAGGCTAGCCTTGATGATGACAGGAATGATTACTATGCGTTCGGGACTTATGATGAGAAGACTGGCAAATGGGTTCCTGATAACGAAAAGATTGATGTTGGTATTGGAATTAGGTATGATTATGGCAAATTCTATGCCTCCAAGACTTTCTATGACCAAAACAAGGGGAGGAGAGTGTTGTGGGGTTGGATTGGAGAGTCTGATAGTGAAAGTGCTGATGTCCAAAAGGGATGGGCCTCTCTTCAGGTAGATTTGGTCAATTATACGAATTTACAGTATCTAATACATTGTTGATATTGCGATCACCATATCGAACAATTGTTGTGATAGATTGGTACTCGGTACCAAACACTCTTTTCTCTTTGCACATGTATCTTTAGTTGGAGTTACAATGTTTGTGGAATAAATTTATGCAGGGAATTCCTAGAACAGTTTTGTTTGACCAGAAGACTGGAAGCAACCTACTTCAATGGCCGGTGGAGGAGATTGAGAAGTTGAGATTGAGCAGCAAGGATTTCAACAAGGTAGAGGTCAAGGCAGGGTCTGTGGTGCCACTTCAAGTTGGCACAGCCACACAGGTTTGTGCATTCTCTGTTCTTATTTATATTTTATGCTAATATTGGCACATTTTGGAGGGCATTTCTCAGAAGAACAATGCATGTCAATGTAACAGTTGGACATTATTGCCGAGTTTGAGTTGGACAATAAGGTTTTAGAGAGCGTAGCTGAATCCAATGAGGCCTTCAGTTGCAATACCAGCGGCGGGGCTGCCAAACGTGGCGCTTTGGGACCCTTCGGTCTTCTTGTTCTTGCAGATGAGAGCCTCTCAGAGCAGACTCCTGTCTACTTCTATGTTGCCAAAGGACCTGGCGGCATTGTCGACACTTTCTTCTGTGCTGATCAAACAAGGTAAGCTTTTCATCAGAAACATTCTTGTGTAAATGCAGAGTTCAAATTCGCAGTCTAACAACGTAAGCATATGTTACAGGTCTTCTGTGGCAAATGACGTTCGTAAAGTAATTACTGGTAGCTATATTCCAGTTCTAAAGGATGAGAAATTATCAGTGAGGATACTGGTTGACCATTCGATCGTGGAAAGCTTTGCTCAAGGCGGAAGAACAACGATCACAAATCGGATTTACCCAACCAAGGCAATTTATGGGGCTGCTAGGCTATTTGTGTTCAACAATGCCACAGAGACCAGTGTTACAGCATCCATCAAAGTATGGCAGTTGAACTCTGCTTTCATACGCCCATACCACCAGGACGAAAGCAGCCTCGCAAGCTTCAACCATGTTACATTTATCAAATTCATTGCCCCATTCTTCATTTTTTTGACTTTATTTTTGTTAGATAGGGAAGCTATTCGATTTCGATTGCGTTCGTGAAATCACATTTATTTTATTATTTTCCAGAGTTCAATTTCAATACCAGTTTCGTGCAATTGAATTGCTGATAACGGCCGTTGGCATCCAATTCATTTCTCAACTATGCCAAATCAATCCACCACATTAGGAGATTAATTATGTGAAAAATGTAATGATATGGTAGGGCCACACAATATTATTTAATTTATCTAATCAAATGTTCTCTTGTTAAACAATTCCGTTAGAACTTGCAGACTGACAACATAACACTTTGTGTAAACTTTAACTCAAGTGACATGAGATTCGAACTCGGAGACAACAAAACACTCCGTATATTTTAACTCAAGTGACACGAGGAAGAAGTAGGTAATGAGGGAGGTGTTGGGCTCCAATATAATCACAAAGGAGGACTCTGGGGCTTGAGAGCCCAATTTGAAAACTGGGTATTTATACCTGATTAATGGGCCCATGGTCCTAAAGAAAGAACAGGAATATGATCTTCTCGTCAACATTAGCAACATTGAAAATCGTGGCTGCAGACAAGGTCATATCATATCCATGGCACAGATTTCTTCTCTGCGAAATGAGGGACCACAAGGATTAAATTTCTTTTGTGGTCCAAGAACTCCCTTGAATTTTTTTTGGCGTGAAAGGGTTCAAAGGTATAATCCATGATGATAAACATAAAGCCTAAATAAAAGGTATAATCCAACTGCATATGATGTTGTCTGACCAATTTACTGTAATCCTAAATGGTGCCAATTCTTTATATGAACATCCATGATGAAAAAAAAACACACTTATGCCTTTCTCTTTACATTTTCTTTGTATATTACACCCTCTATTATATTTTGAACTATAATTTTTCAGTCTTTGTTAGGGCATTTTCATCCATTTATCATGGTAAAAAGTAAGAGGAGGCAAGGGTTGTTACTATTCACATGAATGATGCATGTCCTAGTAATTTTTTTGTTGATTTTCCACCCATTGCTATGGCAACCACTATTCACATGAGATATGAGGAGAGGAATTTGTATAAAATTTTGGTATGGGAAGTGAAGAATATGGCTAAGTATTTATAATTTTTGTTGTTGAAATTTTTTGTATTTTTTGTATTTTTTATTTATTTTAATTGGTTGCTGACGTCATCATTAGGTCAACATGCCTAAGCAGCAGCCTAGGAAAATCTTACCTTTGGTCTTGCCCAAGTTGGTGGAGCCCAGCTCTTGGCAAACTTGAATGCTGGAAACACATTTGGGGGCCTTGGAGGCCTTTTACTCGGGCTGGGACCTCTCGGTGGAAATGCTCCTAGGTTGTAAATAACCATGTTGGATAAATAGTATTGATTTTTACATACCAAATCTTTAACTTTGAAACTTCGGGCCAATTTAGTATTGCTGTGTTGTGAAAATAATTGTGGTTAGATTTGCTGTGAGAGAAAGCAGTTTGGCGTTTGGTAAATTTTTTTTTGTTAAAAGTGTTGTTGGTACTAATTCCCTCATAATAAAAAAAATGATTGGTGCATAATCATTAAACCAAGCGCCTCTTCGAAACTGATTCCTACATAATCATAAAATGAAAGCACATCATTAGTTGTTTTCCCTTATAGCTTTCTCTCACAACAATTTTTAACAATAAGTGATTTTCTCATAGTTTACCAAACGGGCTAGGCTTCCCAAATTTTTAAAAAAATCACTTATCACTCCAAATAAACAATGTCAAACCAACACTTCTAGTCAACATAGAAAACCAAAAAAATTGCGGAAAATTGAACAATTATACAATATTTGCTCTGTATAATAAATTTTTGGTGGCTTATTGTATGTTATGGGTTGTTTATTGGTGGCTCTTTTTATGTACATGTAGTTTATAAGTTCTACTTGTGAATTAACATCTTAAATAGAATATGAACTCATGAATACTTCATTTTCAAGACGAGTTCTATTCGTGAGTGTCTAGCAATGTATACGTTGCTTTGAATTAAGGAAACCGCATTATTGTACGGCATGCCATTTATATTAAAAAAAGATGAGACATAATGTGGTACAATAACGTGATCTCCTATAATTTTCCTTTCACATTTTGCCTAGCTTATGCGTACTCTTATTCTTTTCATAGTTGATCATAACTCAATGCTCAAGAAACTGGTCTAATTATTGATGGAGGGCCTGTTAGAACCAAATCCAGCTGGATTTCACATTGTGCGTAGCCGATCATAATAATTCATTACCCAAACCACCGTGTCTCTTTAATTAGTATATCTTTCTAAAACAATATATATTCCATCATTCTGGTTGGACCGTTGCCTTTCAAACTGTCCCTTCATTTCATCATATCCTTAATTTCTTTTTGTGACACATAAACTAACTCACTTTTATATAAATATATAAATATATAAATATATATATATATATATATTGTAGCGTGCATGCATGAGCAGCTAGCTAGCATGGCTGTAGAACAAATTACAACACTCAAAGCAAAACTTATTATACAAGTTAAATACCTCCAAGTCCAAGACCAAGAGAAAGTTTTCTACATATAAACAAAGCTTTATATAAATATAATTGGCTTGATCTTGTTTTCTCTTTTAAAAAGAAATGCTGGTGGTGGATATTGTTTGGTCCCTACCTGCCAGAATGCGTTTCGCCCTCCGTTTTCATCTACCTCTCTATTCATTGCTCTGAGCATGAGGAGGGAGATCCCACACAGCTCATGCCCATTAACAAAGTATATCTTTCGCGTTGGAATTTTGCTGCCGCATTATTTTCCTGTTGTTTATAATTGGTATTTTTCAGGTACATAGGGTTCTTCATTTATCGTCGCCCCGGGTCTTCAAAAACTCAAGACCAGCTATAACATTGGGTTGGAGCAAGAATTTCAAATGGCATTAATAGGAGTTCTTGATGAAAGTTAATTATGTAGATATGCATTATTATCTGTTAGATCAAACACTACCTAACTCGTAATTAATTTAATACGACTACCACTTATTTTGCAATTACATTGCCTACATAATTAGGTGATGCTTTGCTTATACAGTTTAACAGTTGTACTTATTTGGCATAACCCTACTGGTTCTATTTTTAGAAGAAAAAGAAGCCCTTATTAGGTTGGGTCCCATCGCACGTGGCAATCCAAATGGGCGATAAAAGTACCCCTAACCTAAGGCACCTGCCCCCACAACTTCAAGGACTAGAGTCTAGAACCACTTTTTTATATATTTTATTTTATATATTTATGCTTATGCTCACTCTGTTGCTGGGCCCAGTTTTTATTTTTTCTTTTCCACGCCCAAAAAGCCCACAACGAATTTGGCATCTCGAGGTAAATCCACTGGACAAATTTCAGGTTTCAGTTCAAATTTAAAAGCGTATACAATATTATTATTTTTGGGTGGATAGATGAGAAGTTGACTCTATTTCAACAACTTCAATGTTTTTGGTTTGATATACTGATAATTTTGTATAAAATAAATATTGATAATTTAACCACAAGGTGTGGTGCGGTTGCCAAACTACCACTTCCAATTGGTGAACTATCTGGTGCCTCAATGGTAGGGGTTCGAAACCCGTTAGAAGCACTTTGTGGCTAAGAACAAGCCGAACTCTGAGCGGGAATTAATCCCTGCCTTCAGGTGTGGGGACACCTCATATTATCAAGAGAATTTTCTTTGTAATTAGTCTCAATCAAAATAAGAGAATTAGTCCCATATTATTTTGATTGAGCCTAATTTTAATTGGTTAGACCAATTATTTTATTTTGCCATCAATCAAAACGCCAACTAGAATTTCTGTTTCCTAACAAAAGAAAAAACCCAAATTAGAATTAAATGACTATTGTGAAGAGATCTCAAATTAAAGTCAAACCATATGAAGAATCTCTTTGAGTTGGTAGCAAAAATCATTTGAGTTCAGATAGCCCATATTAGATCAAGAGCTCTGATATCAAATGATAGAACCCTAAAGCAGATAAGAAAAAAAAATTGAAATCAAAGGAAATTAACTCAATTCATTTAATCCATAATTCCTCCAATAAAGACTCATAGCTATTAGCTAGATGAAAACAAAAAGTAACAAGAAGCTTCTCAGAAACTCACAACAGATAACCTACATGCTTATCCGTATGTTTCTTGTCAAGAGATGTGCATGGCCTCCATAATTACTTGTCACCACCCATATAAACGGAAACACTTCTCCTCATAAGCGTTTTTAATAATATCATTTTTATTAAAAATGTTGAAATTTTCATAAGAAATTTAAGTGTTTTTATTTCTAGCAAGTGCTTCTATGACCCAAAAATCCTACTAAATTTTTCTGTCAAGCGTAGTCATAAGTGCTTTTAGTTATCAAAAGTCACTTTTAACCCTTCTTAAGGCCCTCTCAATCAAACCCCAAGTAGAAGTTGCAATTCTTGAAAACGTATTAAGAATCAAACGGTCATCAGCTGTTGTAATCCATCCAGCACTACCCCACCCTACATTGAAAGGGGCCCCTATTTGTGGGCAGTGGCTCACGGCTGGCAATCATGTGGCGCTTTCACAGAGAGATCTAAACGTTGTAACCATTTCTGATTTTTTATTTGTTTAAGAGAGACAAGAGTCAAAAATAAATGTGGGTGTTAGTTTAGTTATGGGGTGAGAGAGCGTGAGAAGTTCAAACTATGAACTGGCTACTGGCTGTCACTCCCTCTTTCCTCACATACTTTCTGTCTCCAAAAATGCTTACTTTTATCTCTCTTGCTCGCATGGATGATGACTGGTTACCGACAAAAGCTTAGCTTGGGATCAGACCTCAAAACCAACCAATCTTCTCTCTCTCTCTCTCTCTCTCTCTCTCTCTCTCTCTCTCGGTCTCTCTGTCTTACTTATTTATTTTAACCAAACCCAAAAACTAGCACTACCCAACACACACACAAAGTAAAGAAAAAAGAGCCGTTCTCTCTGTTTCTCCTCTGTCACACACTCTCTCTACTCTCTACCGTTTTTCTCTCTAGAGGCTCTGCTTTGTCCTTGTTCCTGTTCTTTCTTTCTCTTTGTGATAATGTAAATCAAACAAAATTTAAGGAAAAAAATTGGCTTTTGATTTGTGAAAAAAACAGTCTAAAGTCCTGGAAATGGCTTCTTTGAGCTTCTTAGCTGTGTTTCTCGTCCACATTTGCTTATTTGCGAGCTTTTCTTCCGCTGAGGATCCAAATATTTACCACGAGTTTGAGGTCTCTTACATCACTGCTTCTCCTCTGGGTGTCCCTCAACAGGTATGTTCCTCTTAGTTCTTATATCTCTCTCTTTCTACTTCTGTAGCTGCATTCTGTCTCTAGATTATGCACTTTCTCTTGCTACTTTTAGCTAGTCTTTTTGTTGTGGATGTGGGTCTGCTCGTTTTTCATGAATGCCAAATGGGTTTGCTTTAGATTTCATAAAGTTGGAATCTTTATCTTCAGATCTGTTAAATCTGAGCTTAGTGTATTAGTTGTGAACTTACAGTGATATCAAGTGCTGAGGTTAGACTGAGAATTAGGGGTTTTAGTAATTCTTTCTAAATTTGCATTGCCTTGCAGGTTATTGCCATCAATGGAAATTTTCCAGGTCCTACTATCAATGTAACTACTAACAACAATGTCATTGTCAATGTTCGGAACAAATTGGACGAGAATCTCCTCATTACTTGGTAGGATTTACTGTAATGTGCACATGATTTTCATGCAGATAACTTATTACACATGGATTCCGTTATCTGAATTTGGATTTGTTCAACAGGGCTGGAATCCAGCAACGCCGTAGTTCATGGCAAGATGGGGTTCCTGGAACCAATTGTCCAATTCCGCCAAAGTGGAATTGGACTTACAATTTTCAGGTTAAGGATCAGATTGGGAGCTTCTTTTACTTTCCTTCTCTTAATCTTCAGAGAGCATCTGGAGGATTTGGTGGCTTTATTATAAATAACCGGGCTATAATTCCCATTCCTTTTGCAACCCCAGATGGGGATATAACCATTTTGATTGGTGACTGGTACACAAGAAACCATACGGTTAGTGCTTAGTGAAATTTTGTACTTCCTTCTTAAGTACAGGTTTTAGATTAGTGTGTAACATGTTTAATGATGATAGTTCCTTTTCTGGAATGTAGGCTTTGAGAAAGGCCCTTGATGCCGGGAAAGACCTTGGGATACCAAATGGTGTTCTTATCAATGGGAAAGGTCCTTACCAATACAACAATACACTTGTTCCAGATGGCATCGATTATGCAACATTTGAAGTAAAACCAGGTAAAACAATTTTAGCAAACTATATATTTAAAATCAAGTGCTAAAAAATGATCAATTTTTGAATGTTGTAAGTCAGAATTTGGAATTGATCTGTGCATGTCATTCCAAATGAATATGTCGTGAGCTGCCAGACACAGATAAATATGTTAATTATACCATGCTATGCAGGCTGTTTGATTTTATTTTGGAGTAGTAATCATACTCATACTAACATTTAAAACCGTATCTGGAAAATTAGTTACAATAGATAATGTTCGTTCCATACACATTAAACGATTGCTTTTGCACCGCAGTTTGCTTCATTTACTGATTGGTGTGAGATCGTTGCCAATTGGTGTCAGGTGTGAAAGCGTAATGCTTGCTCGTCAATAATAATTAGGTTATTAGTGGGAAAGGATTCATGACTTTATATATGTTTTTTTTTTGGAGTTACATAGCATTTCACTGAATATAACATGATGGGGCTTTATAATTCACATCTAAGCATAAAGAGTTGGCAAGTCATTTCTTATGCCAATAAGTAATTTCGATAATGTTGTTTCTGTGAACTAGTGGACTTTTAGCTGAATTCCTCCATACTTCCAATGACCATGACGTAATATTGGACAGGTAAAACCTACCGTCTTCGTGTCCACAATGTTGGGGTGTCAACTACTCTAAATTTCAGGATCCAGAACCATAATCTTCTTCTAGCAGAGTCAGAGGGATCATATACAGTGCAACAGAATTATACAAGCTTAGATATACACGTTGGGCAATCTTTTTCTTTTCTGGTAACCATGGATCAGAATGCAAGTTCTGATTATTATGTTGTGGCAAGTGCTAGATTTGTGAATGAGACACACTGGAAAAAAGTTACTGGAGTTGCAATCCTGCACTATACTAATTCTAAAGGAAAAGCAGCTGGGCCCCTTCCAGAGGCACCAAATGATGAATTTGACAAAACCTACTCAATGAACCAGGCAAGATCAATCAGGTTTGTTCTCTGTTCATCTTTTTGTATTAAAATCCAGTGCCACCTTTTTTAAGCTCATGAGATTTCCAGGGTTGGGATGTTTTTGTATCCTTAAATTTTGTGTTCACAAATGGGGAAAAAACATTGGACCTATGTGTATGAGTTTTTAGCAGACACAATATGATAGAAATTGAAGAATTTCCTGACTGGTTTATCCATATAAAATCTCTTTCTGAAACATTTCTGGAAATTTTTTGCAGATGGAATGTATCAGCTAGTGGTGCACGCCCTAATCCACAGGGATCTTTTAGATACGGCTCAATCAATGTAACTGATGTTTATGTGTTGAAAAACAAGCCACCTGTAGTGATCAATGGGAGACGCCGGACAACGCTCAGCGGAATCTCATTTGTAAATCCTTCTACACCAATCAGGCTTGCTGACTGGAAAAAATTGAAGGGTGTTTATAAGCTTGACTTCCCAACCAGGCCACTTACGGGAGCACCCAGACTGGAAACATCTGTGATTAATGGAACATTTAGAGGATTTATAGAAATCATACTACAGAACAATGACACCAAGATGCAAAGCTACCACGTAGATGGATATGCATTTTTTGTTGTCGGGTAGGAATTTTTGTACTTTATTGCGTCAAGCATGTCTAAGTAAGAATTTATTTTCCCCCTCAGTGGTTTTAACATGCATTGATTTAATTGCAGGATGGACTATGGTGACTGGACAGAGAATAGCAGGGGCACATATAATAAATGGGATGGGATAGCCCGTTCCACAGTACAGGTATATTTCTGTTTTAATCGTACTTAGGTCCTCCTAAACTTGTCCTAGTTTGCCTGTCAACTTGTTTCTGATTCGTAATAATTCCTTGCAAATATGTCAGTTGGACTTACTTACTGTCACAGAATTGGCAGGCATGTTTTTGTGTTAATAAGCATGTTCTTGTTCGTGTTGCTCACCTCATCAAGGGTGCTGACTGGCTGTCAACCTTTTAAGCTGTTTTGCTTTATTTGTTCCAATGGAAATAGGCATGCTTATCTAATAAACATGCAATAGCCGCTGATGCCCAATACTTAAATAGATGTAAATATTTGTAATGTAGTAAAGTCTTCTCTCTCTCTCTCGTTAGGTTTATCCTGGGGCATGGACAGCAATCTTGATATCTCTGGACAATGTTGGAGTCTGGAACATTAGAGCTGAAAACCTCGACTCATGGTATCTTGGCCAAGAAACTTATATCAGAGTTGTCAATCCAGAAGCGACTAACAAAACTGAGTTGCCTGCACCAGACAATGCCCTATTTTGTGGTGCCCTCAGTAAATTGCAGAAGTATGTTCTGTGGTCCATATGTACTAAACATCTCAACTTGTTAATGAGTAGCACAAAATATCAATTCTGATTATACATTTCACTTTTGCTTTTCAGGCCGGAAGATATCTCTTTGGCAACATCAATCACTATCAATGAATCAAAGTTGTTCTTCACGCTGCTGATGATCATCTGCACTTTGATCCCCATTTTCTACTAGAGGTTTTGGTTTTCCAGAGCCAGTGTCCCCTCTATGTTTGTCGGAGCCTGGTTTCTTAGTGAGAGGTTTGTGGATGAGTGCTTAGGTTTGTAAGGTTAGTCTTGTTGATATAAATCTTTAGTAAGTTTGACATTCTTTTCTTCTTTTTTTCATTTTGTTTTCGAATGTTCTCAATGCTCCACGGCTTCCTCGTTTATTTTTATCGGGATTTATGATTCTTTTATTACCTATTTAACTTATGTACTATTGACAATTAATTCATCAATTCAATACAATGCAACTTCCTACTTTACATCACTGCTGCATTTCAAATTGCTGAAGAGAAGATATGATAATGTTTGTACATTTTTGGCCTCTACTATATGAGGTATTTGAAATGTACTGGACCTTGAAGATTCCCCCCAATGTCCCTTAGTTAGGAGGAAGTGGGGTCTTTGGCTTTGGCTGGGTCACGGATCTGTTTCTGATATTTTGTTGTGGCCTGAGTTTTGTGGTCATGGGATGTTCGAATATCTTTTCATTTTGTGTACCGTTGAAGTGCATTTTTGTTGGCCAAAACAATGTGTGCTGTGATTTTTTCTTGTCTTTTAAATGCCCCATTATTTTCATAAATCCACTGCATTTATAAAAAAAAAAACAGAGAACCGACCACCCAAAAACATGGCATGAACAACTGTTTCAGAAAAAAGGAAAAAAACAGGAAAAAAATTATTTGTATTTTAAGCAGCATAATTGATAACTCCAAATGGGAGGAATGAGGATAGCGTGGATTCAGAACATTCCAATGCTGTCATTGTGGGCAACTTGCCTGTAAGCAAGATGGATTGTCTGGCGCATAAAAATGGAGTGCTGTGGAATTGCTGTCACTCGTGTGACGGCCCACCATCATGTGGTATATTTACCGCTTCACTTATTATAACACGTACTTAGTAAGGGGCCGTGTAGAAGCGGTTAAAAGCATTTATCTTGTAGATGAGGTCTTATGTTCGATTTTTCCTTCCTCTAATATCGCTTGTATCTAAAAAAAACAAAAACACATGTATCTATTAATTAATTAATTACTAAATTGAAGTTTACAACATATCAACTTTGTTGTTATTATGATACATGAATTATAACTAAATAGCAAGTTAGCAACCACTGTAATTGTATATTGCATTATAGTTACACTCACTGTCATCATTATATCCCTAGTAAAAAGTTCTAAACCATAAAGCCGGTAGTTATCACAGGAAAAAGAAAAAAAGAAAAACCCCAAAAACCAAATAAACCTTGCCAAAGAAACACGGATAGATCTGCATGACTCTAGCTCAATTTACATTGGAGTGGGATGGAGATGTGGTAGATTTTAGGATTAGGTTTGTTTTTCTAGTAAAAGAAAGAAAAAAAAAGAGTTCTAAATTTAGCTCAAACTAATACAAGAACCAATTGTGGGAATGGCCTAGAAACCGTTTGGGCGCGCATCGAAGGGGTCTAATGGGCCAACGCCTCCAAGGCTAAGGAGAATATTATATGGACTTTTGAGCCATTATTTATTGAAGTGGCCTATGGGCCAGTAGAAGCATCAAGAGCTATTGGTGATAGAAATGCTCAATAAGCATAAATATAATACAAATATTCTCCTATACGGATGTTTGGAGGTGATTATCATGTGGACGTCATGTGTTTTTTACTACAATCTCTACTTTTCTTTATGTTTACAATGGCATCCGCATAATAATAACATGCGAACATCCTTACATTGAGGGATACCTCAAATTAGCTTATTTGAGGGCTACCCTTGTAGGGTTCACTCTGCATTGTATTTCACTAATCCAAACATCTATGTTTTAGATAATCATTCAAAGATCATCTCTACAAAAAATCACTTGAACTTATATTGTTTGACCATTCAATTGTGTTATTGAAATTTAAGTACTTTCTTGAAGCACTATGTTCATTGATTTTGTAGGATACAATTGGATGTCTAAATATTTTCCGATTGGTCTAATTTTTTTGCAATAATGATCTATGAATGTAGACTTAAAAAATATATGGTTTGGAAAAAAAAAAAAAAAAAAAAATCATAGGGTACCCTAAAATGTGTCCTTGAAATAAAATTATTTGAGAAATCCTTCAATAAAAAATCACCATACACCCCGCGGGGATACCTCCCAAGAAAAGCATCAACAGTTTGGCTCTGTTTGTGGGAAGATGTGAAGGAGCCGCGACTTGGTCGTCCCCGCATGTATACTTCCCTAAAAGGTGTCCCTGAAATAAAATTATTTGAGAAATTCCTCAATATAAAGGGACTATATATAAGACAAAGGCAGGAAATGATGAAAATATTAATGTAATGAAAATAATATAGTAAATTTATATTTTTTTCATATTAAAAAATTTAAAATAAAAAATAAAAATAGAATATAAGTTCTATTTATAAAACACAACTACCCATTTTATCTATCGAGTGTGCCAAGGGACTATACTAATAATATGTGGTTTGACAGGTCATACCCCGAATCCCACATCAGAAATGCCCTAGAAAGATCTCATATATTGAATTGAAGTAAGACCTAAGAATCCAAAAGTCAACTTCAGTTAGCAGTTTTAGATGAGTCTTTGGGTCATTACAAATGGTATCAGAGCACAACCTAATTTAATGCCTATGTGGGACCAATATATCATTATTGCAACGACGGCTCTATGTGGATGAGGGAAGGGCACACCATCTACCAAAAAAATTTATTTGTAATGAGAATAATACAGTTTTGCTATTCGTAATTAATAACACAATGACACGTGAAAAAATTATCCTTTATGTTATTGCGTTATTGGCTTGAAATAGTAAAAAGTTTTATACCCTTTGCATGAGAGAGTTGCTCTCCACCTTCAACCGGGTAAAGTAACAAACATGGACACAAATATATAACTAAATATGTGATCCTATTTTTCGTGTAGTTTAAACCAATAATATCTTGTTGGCAATAGCTAACATTTAGGGTTTACACTAGAAGAAATGCAAGCTTTATTAACATTACATTACAACAATTTTTTAGTGAGTAGTCATTATTAATCACAGCATTCACATAATGACATGCTATCTCACCAAGTTGTAACTTGTATTTGTGTATTAGGTTTTTCATGATTTACATTACAACTCATCTCTCGCGTTACAAAATGTTTTCCTCTCACCGCGAATGTCAAACGTTGTTAACCCAAATTAGGGAAAGAGAAGTAAAGTCATTTGGTTTTTTTACCAGTGTTTTTGGTGCTCTTTGTATATATGTGCCTTGGCATATAGGAAAGAAGCAATATCTTAGTTGGATGAAATAACACCTCATCTTTTGATACGTGTACATAGAGAGGGAGGACAGGCTAGGGTCCAAATGGATCGATAATCAATCCAAAGCAGTGTCCTTTGTCTGTTTCCGAGTTGAATCAGAGTGCATAGTAGGGGACTGATTGATAAAAGAAGGGCAATTACCCCTGTGCTTCCTCTAAGCACCCCCCAGGCCATCCCTTTTGTTTCTTTGCAGGACATGTCCTTTGTGTGGTTCAAAAAGAACAAGAAATTGCTCATGCCCATGCAACATGGGTCTAGGAGTGCATGTGGGGTTAAGTTAGGTTGTGGTGTATCTAAAATTAAAGGCTCCATGATCAGCCCTTAGCAGAGCTAAAGGCCTCACCACCGCCCTCCCTTTAAATTCGTACGTACTTGCTTGCACTGATCAGCAGCACTCACACACAGAGACAGAAGAGAGAGAGAGAGAGAGAGAGAGAGAGAGAGAGAGAGATTGATTTAGAGGAGGCAAAGCCGAAGCCAAAATATATCAGACACCAGAGCAACTCTGGATTTCAACTTTATCGATTTTTACCCAACCCCACCATCCCCCCCATCCCGAAAGACATAGAGAGAGATTCAAAGATCCTCATATCCCCACAAACAGCAACAAATAGCTCCTAGCAGGCTTTTTACAGTGATAGCTTTTCCTCATTCGTACATATGTATGTATGCAGACATGCATGCATGTGTGCATGGAGCCATGAATGCATCCAGCTGCTGCCATCATCATCATGAAAGTTACAATGTGAGATGGGTCATGAATGATATACCTAATTGAATGGGACTAACATGTGTGTGGCCCATTTCCAATGGGATTCAATAATCTAAACCTTTGTTTTTTAAGATTTTCGTTTTGAGGAACCTTCTTTAAATATCATCCAAACAAGTAATTATTTTTACAGAATTAGATCATCCAAGTCAAAATCAATTGAGAATAGATTAAGAGGTCATTCTCCTTTTTCAATGTGGGATATGAAGGAAGTTGAGGTTCCACTCCAAAACCAATTGGTAATACATGGAGTAACTCAACTCTTTATAAGCCCTTACTAAGTTTCTCAACTTTCCAATGTGAGATATTTTTCACCTTCACATTCTCACACACCCTCATTTTACTATAGAAACGATTATGCAGAATTTCTATAAAGAACCAGTGTAACACATATTGAGTGACATGGAGCATGTGTGGCTATTGAGCTTGCACACGTGGGCAACCCCGCTCTGATACCATAAAGAAAGTTGAGATTTCACCCCAAAACCAATTGACAATGGGGGGAGTAGCTCAACTCCTTATAAGCCTTTGCTAGATTTCTTAACTTTCCAATGTGGAACAATTTTCACCTTCACATTCTCACATGATAAACTCTCAACAATTTTGGCATCTAATTAAAAGCTTGTATTATTTTGATTTGACTATTTTGTCCAAGGATAATCACTGGAAAGAGACCTAATATATAGTTGATTTGGTCATTAAGTTATATATTATTAACAGCCCCAACTAATGCGATCCAATTCTTAAAAGGAACGTGTTAGAAGGATATGGAGAGCGAAGAATTTCACAAGATATGTTTAGATGTTGTTATATTTAAATTTCCAGTCGACATGTCATTAGTAAACCTTGAATCGTTAATTTTTTGTTTTATAATTAAAACACTGAAAAATACGAATGTGATTTAATCGTGTTGAAATAAACACAGTTTAAAGTGTTTCATCAGACTTGAATCAATTAAACATTATCACGTCAATGTTGGAGTTTAGCTCACCTTTAGATGCAAAGGAAGAAGAACCAAGTGTACGTAGCAAGAAGAGGTTGCAGCAAAGGAAGAAGGAAGAAGAAAGAGGAGTCTAGGCTGGAAACGGATCGATCGCTTTTGCGCAGGAAGCTCCAACGTGTGAAACGAAGACGAAGCGATCACTTATGCACAACAATTCTTAAAAAATATCATATTTGCTTTTCTTATCCACATGGCAGTCTCTTGACATAAATGTTAGCAAAAAAGTGAATTCCACAGATGACACGTCAACAAAATTAACGATTTTATCGACGAATTTAACGTAATAAAGAGTAATGGAGTAACATATGTATCATTGTGTTGTGAGAGCCCATTATCCCTGAATGCACTCCCACTTCCCGACCGGCTTGCTAGCTGATGCAGATGGTTCAATTGAGTCCTTGTGTACATATCTAACATGTCTATAGGACATGTTCTATGGTACTTATTTCAAGATTCGTTTGTCACATTGGAAAAATATTTTTAAACTTGAACTTACTTCTTGCTAAATAAAAGTATCACTTACAGTAACACAAATGGAATATTGGAAGTGGTTTAAACTTGTCAAACTATATATTGCATGAGTTTGGGGCGATTTGAGGTCTGAATCGAACTATATATTTACACAATGATTTTGTTTATAATAAGAAAATTAAAACTTCCCTCAATCCTATCCATCCACATACACCACAGTTTGTACGTTCACTTTATGCTATCTGCCCAATACTAGACGTTAAGGGTGAAGAGAGTCTATGGCCGAGCTGAAGCCACATGCATCCCAAACTGATGATCTTGCAGAAGGAAAAAGAAAAGGCCAAAATCATTTTTTTCTTCTTGTCATTGTGATTTGACTAATTTTTTTACTTTGGTAACCGTCATTTTAATTTTAATCATATAGTTTTTTTTTTCCCCAGATAGAAACCAAGTCTCGAAATATTATAAAGAAAAATACATGAAATGTTACGTTTTGGGTACATGTAGCCCTGCTCAGTCTCGTCCCTTTCCTACAAAACTAACCACCCACCTTTTATGTCATTAAAAAGGCATATATAAAATTTAAATTGATGTTCGTCTCCCAAAAAAAAGAGATAAAGAATGAGACCTTTAAAGTAAATAACTGTGGACTCGAAATGACTTGTATCATGCCACACATGACTTCAGATGATTGGACAGTGATTATTAAAAGAAGACATGTTCTAGAAAATATGGGCAGATGTTTTCAAAATCAAATCCGCCATTTCTCGTACTGTACAAACACCTATCATCATATGGAGGGGCTTTCAATTTGTTAATGTTAAATTTGTTAGCTAGCCAAGTACCTGTCTGTCAATGCTATAGGATTTATTTTTTATTTTTTGTATTAAATTTTTCCTTTTTGGTTAGCTTTATTTTGACCGTCAAATAAATGGGTCATCAAGTTTATGTCTCAGATTCTCAGACTCACTTCCCTTTCAACTTGTTTTGTTAATGTGGGTAGGATTTGAAACTTTGAATAGGCCAGGCTTGTGATGGGTCTGTAAAAGGCCAAGGACCTTTGCAAATTTTCCCTCCCATTTCCACCCATTTATTGTTTTGCATACGAGTTACACAGGACCCATATTTCTCATTTGTGAGTGAGTGAATGAACGAACAATAAAACTGATCATCTCACTTTCTGGGGAAGAGGAAATCCAAAGGGTCTTTAATGAGTAAGATGGCGATGGTTCTTAAGATATGCATCATAAGGGTCTTCTCTTGACATAATGTGATGTGCGGTTTAGATTCATAGTCTCGCAATTTGAAATTGTGATTCACGGTCTAGATTCACAGTCTCGCAATTTAAGATTCTTGGGAAAGAGACTATCATCCTATATATAGTATATATAAAAGAAGGAAGGGGAAAATATGTTTTTGAACTAAACTAGAGTAGGCTAGGGTAGCTTTGCAAAATTTGTAACAAAAACCCTAGAGATTGTGTGGATATGTAGAGGAAGCGTGGGAAAAGATTCTAACCAAATTAGCTGAAACAATCCTAAAAACGAAAAATGAAATATGAGGAAAGGACAAAGGTGGTAAGGAAAGAATCGAGAGCTAGCTAGGCTAGCTGAGCTGAGGGTGGCCAATGTTTCTGACTTAAATACGTATCTGTGTTTCTTCTGTATGCGTAAGACGAGGGAGAGATTGAGTGGTCAAATCACTGAAAAAATATATATACATAGAATTCCATTAAATTGTGCAATATCTCTATATTTTTTGGATTTACACAAAATTGGCATTATTATGTAGGCATGATTGTGCTATGATGGTGTTGGGTTTGGGGCATCCCATTCACGGGTCACTGAAGATGGAATTGAAGAGAGAGAGAGAGAGCCCTATGGAGGCGCAGAGGGAAGCGGAGGGTGAAATATATACGAAGTGAAGAAGGGGCAATAGGGGATAATTGTATTGTCCAGGAGGTAGAAGAGAGGGCCATGGTTTAATGGGTTCGGAAATTGAGGCAAATTAAATTAAATTACTTACTTACTTAATTATTTATTTATTTATTTAGCAACAACACACAAAGACACGAGGCTCTTTAAGTTGTGAAAACAACAGGTGAGTGTGTGAAAGCTATATCACCCCATGCACACGTCCCTTTCTTGCTCCTCTCCCCCACATCTGCCGCCTCTCTCTCTCTCTCTCTCTCTCTCAGAGACATAAACACAAACACAAAGCAAGCATCGGGAATGCCAACCACATACATGTATGTTTATTACTTGCATCCTATAATTAACACCATGCGCATGTTAGCCACATCCATGCTTCTATACACATTGCATATATATGGTAAGTCATAAATGCATCCATCCATCCATGCATATGCATGTAACATATGTGATGACATGGTGGGTCATGAAGTGAGCTTATAAACAAGACTGGGGCAAGGGGGGCACCAATAAACAGAGGCAAGAGAATTTAAAGGGTTTTTCTCTGTAACCCACCAAAGCCCTCTCTTATATCTACTAGACCAAATACAGCACCTTGCAGCCTCCCTCTTTCCCCATCTCAATCTCTGTATCTCTGTCTTTCTCTCTCTCTCTCTCTCTCTCTTTCTTTCACATTCTTTCTTCACTCAACAACACTCATATTCTCAAAAAAAAAAAAAAAAAAAAAAAAAAAAAAAAAAAAAAAAAAAAGAAAACCAAGGTGGTGGTTAAGCTGTCATCCGTCAATCAATCAATCAAACTCTCAAGAGACCAATCATCAATCAAACTTCTCAAAATTTTTTTTTATAAAAGAAAAGGAAGAATCACATCCAAAAAATCATGTCATCATCCTCTTCTGCTTCAACCTTGTCCCTCGACCACCTCCCTCCTTCCGAGCAGCTTTGCTATGTCCACTGCAACATTTGCGACACAGTCCTTGCGGTATATACTCTTTATACTTCTATAATATTTTTGAGTACCCTTTTATCCCAAGTTACTAATTTTTACTTTTATTTTGTTTAATTTGGTGGAAGAACATATATTTCATGTTTTTGATACATGTTTGATAAAAAAAAATGGTTTAGGTGAGTGTTCCTTGCACAAGTTTGTTCAAGACTGTGACGGTGCGATGCGGGCACTGCACCAATCTGCTTCCAGTGAACATGCGTGGGCTGCTTCTCCCTTCGCCCAATCAGTTTCATCATCTTGGTCACTCTTTCTTCTCATCCCCTAATAATTCCCATAATCTTCTGGTACTACTTGTATTACGCTTAATTTCATTGCTTACCCTTTTGATTGTTTTCTTTTCTTTTGAATAAATCCATACTTGCTATATCTTCGCTACGATTAATTGGTTGTGTTTGTAGGAAGAGATACCAAATCCAGCCCCAAACTTTCTGATGAACCAAACAAGCGTGAATGACTTTGCTGTACGACCAAGAGGAGGGGCTGATGAACTACCAAGGCCCCCAGCTATTACCAGACGTAAGTGATGAGATTCCTCACACCTTTACTTTCCTTATTATGCGTGTGTGTGTGTGTCCATCCATCGATATCCTAGACCTCCACTTCAGATTCTATGAAACAAGTGCCTAGATATAGCTAGCTTTCTCAAACTGTCTTTGTCAAGCAAATTCTTCGCTCACTAGCCACCTAGCTGCCCTTAGGTTTCAGTTTTAGTCAAGGAAGAGTATTGATAACAAAGACCATTTCAAAATGCACGATCTTGTTCAGACCACATGACAAAAACCAGAAAACAAAAACTTGATCTTTTATTGGCCTCCTTGTGGAAAATACCCTCAAGAGGACCTTGGAAAAAGAGGATTGGTGGGTAAAATAAATAAATTAGCCACTTTGATCATAAACTCTAGAATCCTTGAAATTATGGTCAAGGTCCTTTTATATTTCTGGTGGTGAAGGAGAGGAACAATCTTAGGTTGAGATTATGCTTCCATTTTAGGGGAAGCTTACAGTACTAGCTAGTAATGTGGTAACTTTGCTTACCCCAACATTTCTTTGGTAAAAAAAAAAACCTAACAAAATGCAAAACTTCTTTCTTCGGTCTTTTGTAAAACCGGTAAGCTGGGATTTGTTTTAAAGCCTAATTTACTTGACTAGATTGTTCTAACCCTTCTTTTGAAATCTGTATTTTGAAAGGCAAACATAACATTGTATGCCTTACAAGCTTTTCAGAGTGGTTTTCTGAACACCTATAGTAACCATGTTTTTCAAGTTCTTATGATAAGCGACATCATAAAAGGGTAGTAGCCCCCCGGAAACATAGATGGTAAAGATTGGTGGACCACCTTAGATTTAGTGGAAAACATAGATATCAGATGGATTGATCATTGACAGAGAAAGAGTTGATAATTGATGACAGTACTTGCAAGATAGGGTGTGGGCTAAAATATCAATAAGAACATCACTAATTCCCCACCGAAAAAATTTATTAAGCTAAATTAATTAAGAAGTGATCAATATTTAACTTTAATGTGTCTCTCTCTGTGCCTGTCTGTTTGTCTGTGCATGCCATGTCCAGCCCCGGAGAAGAGACAGAGAGTCCCCTCTGCGTACAACCGTTTCATCAAGTGAGTAATCATGTCAACTATATCATTCATCTCTCTCTCTCTCTCTCTCTCTCTCTCTGAGGCACAAATTCAAACGCACAAAACCTGCATTGTAATGTTTAATTAATGGATTTATAAACTTGCCAAAATTGAAGCAAAACATATTAATGGTCGATTCATCTGAGTCTGTAAAAATGCAGGGACGAGATCCAACGCATCAAGTCTGTGAATCCTGATATATCTCATAGAGAGGCCTTCAGTGCAGCTGCTAAGAATGTAAAATATTTTCTTATAGGCTTACTTCTTCTTTACCAAATTAGGGTTTTTGCTTTTCGTTATTACTGTAGACTTCTGCCTTGTGGGGTCCTTTGGTATGTGAACCTCTTAATTTTCCTTTCCTTTTTGTCAGTGGGCCCACTTTCCACACATTCACTTTGGTCTCATGCCTGACCAGACTGTGAAGAAGACAAACGTGCGCCAGCAGGTTATTTACCCCCCTCCCCTCCATGCAGTACAATTAACCCTCTTCATCTGATTTTCCAAATTGGCACACAAATTTATATGCTAGATTAATATTTTAATTAATTTCTTGGTCCTTTTGGATTTGTGCAGGAAGGAGAGGATGTTCTGATGAAAGATGGGTTTTTTGCTTCAGCTAATAACGTTCGTGTCTCTCCTTACTAAGTGAGAGCTGCAAGCTGCAAGCTGCAGCTTTGATGTGTTTGTTGTGGTGGTGGAAGAAAAGCAGAATTGTGATGATGTCTAAAATCTAAAATTAATTTCTTCCCAACGGCCATATGTTGATAACTATTTAGATGTAGACTTAAGATTTTAATATCTACAGTTTGGTTAAAAGAAAAACCCTTGTATTTTGAAGACTTTATTATCCTTTAATTATTATGTTATGGTAATATATAGCTCACCAGTTGCTAGATGCTGGCCAATCAACTACTTCTCCATGCATATATCTTGTTGATTTAAATGTGTTTTTTTGGCTTCGCATACTTGTTTGTTTCTTTGATCTGTGCTATCATGTCACGCCCACAGAAATTAGCAAGAGCCCTAATAGTTTCTTATACTTTTTCACTGAATCCATCTTTGTCTTGATCGCATAATCTATCTGCATATGCAATTGTGCATGTATGCTGCTTCTTGGCAATCCCATAAAAATATAAATAATGTCTACTTAAATTCTGAGTAGAAATTTGTTTTACATCATGTCATGTAAAGCATGTTTTGTGCGAACAAAAATATTTTGATGTACTGAAATGACATGTTCTCTATATTCTCGGCAAGAGTAAGCCTAAGTCAAGCTCATGTTTTTTTTCTTATATATATAAAAAAGATAACTTCATTGACTAAGCCAAAATCAGGATACAACATAAGAAATCCGAATGGCCAAAGGAGCAAAATGTGGCATCATTAAAACCTTGTCATAAAAAAACTCCAGTGGAGAAAAATCTGGTCAAGGAAAAGTAATATCACCACTCCTCCCCAATACAAATTCATGTTAAACTAACTTAAGTTATCACAAAATATCATAAGTCACTAGTTTCAGTCAAAACAAAGAAATTCTCAATGTTGATTAATTAAGCACATTAATTTTAGGGTAAACTACAGTAAACCCCCCAACCTATAGGGTCATTTATGAGTCCATACCCGATTTTGGGGACATTTATGAGTACATACACAACGTCGCGAAAACTTACAAGTTGCCCCCCTTCCATTAGCGAGTCCGTCAGAAAATCCGTTATCTGCCTACGTGGCATTTATGGGGCCCATTTTTAATTGAAGTGGAGTTCCACGTGGACAAAAAAATAATAAAAAATTATGTACATGTTAAAAATAATTTTTAAATAATATTAAAATCATTATTTTTTTAAAAATTTCTCCTCTCTCCCTCCCGACTCAACGCCACCTCTTAGCCACCCCTCTCCCATCGCCCACCTCCAAACCCAACTCTCTTTCTCTCTCCTTCTCCATCCCAACTCAACCCAACCTCTCCAGCATAGGCACAGCCGCCAGCCATTATCAAACCTAAACCCCCGCCATCATTCTCTCCTCCCCCCCCTCTCCCCCAAAAAAAAATCAAATCAACTAGAGACTAGGGATTTGAGCTAGACGAAGGCTAGCGATCTTATCCTTATGCTTCATCGTTGCTGGCCTAACGTTGGTTGCTTCTCTGCTCCAGTCAAATAAAACCATCCAAGGAAGATGGACCAGATCACGAAATAATTTCCCAAAAAATTCAGAATCAAAATATTAAATCCAATCTTTCTAATCAAATTTCAGAGACAAAATTGAACTTACAGCAAAACCCAGTTGCCATCAAGAAGACCCGGACTCAATCTCAGAGACAAAATTGAACTTCCATCTTCTCCTCAATCTCAGCCTCAGCTTTGGCCGGACTCCCATTCCCAATTTTAACGACATCATCTCCTCCGCCTCCCCACTCATCCCCGTTCTGCGGAGGGTCCGATTCGGAGATTTTGGATGCGGGTTCGGCCTCCGGGGCGGCCTCCTCCCCCCACTCGTCAATGATCTTCGTCGAACGGTCGCCGTTTGTGGGGGTATCGTCGGAGATAGAGGAGCGTAGATGGAGTGAAGGGAGCTTAGGGTTAGGGTTTGGTGAGGGGAAAGAGAGGAGAGATAGAGATTGGGATTTTGGGGTTGGAAATGAGAGTTCGTTGGAGAAGCTTTTGGAGATGAGATCAGATCAATTTTTTCCTTAAAAAATTCAATCTTTAAATTTTATGGGTTTTGGTTATGTAAATTGTGTTATATTTAGCAGATGAAATGGTGATGGGTTGTTGTAATTGATGTTTTAAGTTGGGTTCCAAATATGGGTTTGCAAATATGAGGGCAGCAGAAATGGTGATGGATTGTTGCTGTCGCCATTGTTGTGAGCTTGCTTGAGCTGAATATTGGTTGGGTTGGAGAAGAGAGATGAGATTTTTTTTCTTTTTTTAATTCATTTTTAATGATTTTAATATGATTTAAAAATTATTTTTAACATGTACATAATTTTTTATTATTTTTTTTCCACGTGGAACTCCACGTCAATTAAAAATGGGCCCCATAAATGCCACATAGGCAGATAACGGATTTTCTAACGGACTCGCTAACGGAGGGGGGCAACTTGTAAGTTTTCGCGACGTTGTGTATGTACTCATAAATGTCCTCAAAATTGGGTATAGACTCGTAAATGACCTTATAGGTTGGAGGGTTTACTGTAGTTAACCCTTAATCTTATTTATGCTATTTTATCCACAACAGTCCTCGGCCAAAAAACAAAGGACCATGTAAAGGTGTGGTGCATGTGTTTCTACAAACGTTATTTTGTTTTACATATGAAGAACCAGAAATTGCAGGATTTTTCATTGGATTTGTCGCCTTAGGTGTTCAAATAAAAGAAAGGGACAAAAAAAAAAATTAAAAAAAAAGAAGCCTGAATGGTTGTGTCCTTATGTTTTTGCCTCATTATTTTGCAATCATTTAAGATTGTGGACATGCATTTGGCCCCTAGCTCCATCGGATTGGGCAATGTAGGTAATTAAACAGTAACCCTAATGCCAATCGTACCTTCACATATTAAAATGTGGCCACGCGGCTGAATGGTGTTCACCACATGCATGTTTAGCTTGGCTATGGAGAATTTACTCAACACATTTATGGAAGTGGACAAACGAATATTGAATGCAACTTGATGTAAGTTATGGTCAACCCGATTTGTCTAGAAGGTTGCTAGAACAAATTGAACAATCGTATTTGTGGACCACATAACAAAAAGTGTGATTTGAAGCGAGACTAGTTTATGTTAGTGCTAGGTTGGCTATTATGGCTGAGATCAGTTTGAAAATGGCTCGACGCAGTCAAAGCTAAAGGTAAATAATTCATGACTGTATTGTATGCATTATAGTTTTATCCTGTATCACACTAGTCAAGTTTACCAAATTTATCTTTTTGTATGATTAGTCATTATTTGGTTGTCACGTGTTTTTGCCATATCATTATTTCACTCGTGTGCTCTCTTACATTACTGTTTTTGTCCCATTACGGCTCCAACGATTAGCCGCCAAGTGTATAAATTTCTAACTTATTCCTCTTTTAGCTAAAAGGTTGTTTACTCTACTAAGCCGTCACTTTACTGATTCTGAATTTTTGAGAGTGTACTTTGCTCTGCATTTCTGCTTTGTGAGGTCATGTTTTTCAAAATTAGATTTTCATATGGTTTTTGAAATTTGCTTTCGTTATTTTTAAAAATATGGATCTAGTACAACACATCTTTCACTCATAGTTTCTAGGTTAGATTCTTGATTGGTTTCTTCAAGAATATGATATCTTGAAGGAATCGGTCTAGTTCATTTTTGAATCTACATTTATCTCTTCGAAGTTGAATTTGAGTTAAGCATATGGTTCCGTGGAGTGAAGAGGTGATTTTGAAGATGCCATTTCCATAAAGACTAGCTGCTTGTCACTACTACATTTTTCACTTTGCGCGACGAAGAGAATTTCGTCGCGCAAAATACATTATAGTCGCACAAATTTTAGCGCGACAGAAACTTCGTCGCGCAGATTCCGTCGCGCAAAGATCGTGGAGAAAGACTTTGCGCGACGAAATTTTTTCATTCGTCGCGCAAAGAGACTTTGCGCGACGAAAAAATATTGGTCGCTCAAAGTGACTTTGCGCGACGAAACATATTGGTCGCGCAAAGTAACTTTGCGCGACGAAAATATTGGTCGCGCAAAGCGATTTTGCGCGACGAAAAAATATTTGTCCCGCAAAGCGACTTTGCGCGACGAAAAATATTGGTCGCGCAAACTTTGCGCGACGAAAAAATTTTAAAAATTTTTTTTTAAAAAAAATTCCCTCGTCCCATTTTTGGTACCCGCCCAAATTTTAGAGTTTTGCGCGACGAATATTAATGTCGCGCAAATATTTGCGCGACGAAATATTTTGGTTTTTGACTTTTTGTTTTATTATTTCTTTAATATTAATTTAATTATATTAATTATTTCGAATTTTTAATTTTTAAATTAAATTTAATTGTATGATTTTTTTCGTTACTTTAATTTAAATTGATATTAATTTATTCAAATGTTTACTTTTTAAATTTAATTTAATTACTTTAATTTAAATTGACATATTCAAAATAAAATTACATATGAAAAATAGTGATCAAATTATCCAATAAATATATATATATATAATATTCAAAATGTACACATAAATTAACAAAGTACAATAAAATAAAATAAAGGGATAATCTCCCCTAAAATTGTTATACCACAAATCCAACCCAAACTCCAATCCCTCCCCTTTACTCAACCCCAAACCCCACACAAACTCAAAACTAACTCCAAAAACACATATTAATGAAAAAAAAATTAAAATTTGGAGAGAATCTACCTTTTGGCAAGATTGAGAGTGAGTGAGAATGAGAGAGAGAAATGAGTGTGAGAGAATTAGAGAAGATAGTGATAGAGAGATGAGAGAGTGAGTGAGAGTGAGAGATAGTGAAAAGAGAGATGAGAGAGTGAGTGAGAGTAAGAGATAGTGAAGAGAGAGATGATGAGAGATTAAGTGAGAGGAGTGAGAGTGAGAGAAATGGTGGGATTTGGGGAGAGGGAAAGAGAGAGGAGAGGAAAGAGTAGAGAAAGACATTGAGAAAATGGTGGAGTTATTTTCATTTTAAAAACCGTATCACTTTGCGCGACGAAGGAAAAATATTGGTCGCGCAAAACTTTGCACGACGAAAAATATTGGAGTATTGATCGCGCAAAGTTTTGCGCGACGAATATTAGTATATTGGTCGCGCAAAGTCAAAAAAAAAAAATCCCGCGTCCCATTTTTGGTACCCGCCCAAATTTTGAAATTTTTGCGCGACGAAAAATACATATTGGTCGCGCAAAGTCTAAAAAAATTAAATAAAAAAATTCCCGCGTCCCATTTTTGGTACCCGCCAAATTTTTGCGCGACGAAAATATATATTTGTCACGCAAAGTCTAAAAAATTTTTTTCATCCCGCGTCCCATTTTTGGTACCCGCCCAAATTTTTAGAGTTTTGCGCAACGAATTGTTGGTCGCGCAAACTTTTGAGAGACAAAAAATTGGTTCGTAGCACGATATTTATAAAAATAATTGTTATGAATAATAAATTTATTTTTTTTACGATTTAAAATATAAATAAGGTTAAAGCTACTTAATAAATGTATATACCAATTTCTTAAGTGTTATACGTACAAAAATAAATAAATTTAAAGCTACTTAATAAGTAAATATATATATAACGATCCAACCATCAGACTTGTTTGTATATACTTCAAGATCGTATACCCCAAAAATTGTAAAAAACAAACATTCGGAGACCTAGTAACGGGACAAAAAATTTCAACGGTTCTTAATGAAAAATCACGATTTAACGGTTATTTTAACTCTGATTTTGATGATTTTTTACAGCTACACTCCTTGACCCTATATGAATACAATGAACTAATTCGATCGTCAATTTAAAATATTTACACTAGTGGATACCACAAAATCTTATGTTATATTTAACAAAAGTATAAATAAACTCTTAATTGTTAGTGAATATATTGTTTTGATGGCATACGCATTCAAAAAAACAAGTTTCAACGATCCAACCGTCAAACTTATTTGTTTATACTTCGAGATCATTTACGCCAAAAATCACAAAAAATAAACATTCAGAGATCAAGTAACGGGACAAAACTTTTCGACGGTTATAAATGAAAAATCTTGATTCAACGGTTATTTTAACTCCGATTTTGATGATTTTTTACCGCTACACTCCTTTACCCTATATGAATACAATGACTGAATTTGATCTTCAATTTAAAATATTTACACTAGTGGATACCACAAAATCTTATGTTATATTTAACAAAAGTATAAATAAACTCTTAATTGTTAGTGAATATATTATTTTGATGGCATACGCATTCTATGAAACTAGTTTGAACGATCCAACCGTCAAACTTGTTTGTTTATACTTCGAGATCATATACGCTAAAAATCGGAAGAAATAAACATTCAGAGATCAAGTAATGGGACAAAACTTTTCGACGGTTATAAATGAAAAATCACGATTTAACGGTTATTTTAACTCCGATTTTGATGATTTTTTTATAGCTACACTCTTTGACCCTATATGAATACAATGAACTAATTCGATCGTCAATTTAAAAAATATATTTTCTAATAAAAACCCAATCCAAAAAACAATAATATATTTTTCTAACAAAGATTTTAAAAAATAATTTATTTATTTTTATAAGGACTTTGCGAGACGTAGTTAATTGTTTCGTCGCACAAAGTAGCTTTGCGTGACGAATTGTTTTTCGTCGCGCAAAGTCTCTTTGCGCGACGAATTGTTTTTCGTCGCGCAAAGTCTCTTTGCGGGACGAACTGTTTTTCGTCGCGCAAAGTTACTTAG